ATTTTAAGAACAACTTGACATTGGCGTAATTGTGATAACTCACAAAGCAAGCCATTAATAAAAAGAAGAAGAAGAAGATACTGACAAAGCGCGGGAAACCTTCGAACTTGGCGGGCGCGGTTTTTAAATTTTTCAAATTAAAATGTAGATTTATTGTAATTAGTACTCAGAATAGTTCTAAGTTGTGAATAAATTTAGATTAGTGTTATTCCTATATTTATTATTTGTCTTTTCTGCGTAGGGTAAGTTTTTTATAATTTTATGAACGAGTCAAGAAAGAGCTTGTTACAATTTACAACGAATCAGGAGCATTTGTTGCAATTTCCAACGAATTAGGAATGGATTCCGACTGTTCGTCGGTATCCAAGCGTAAAAAACCGAGTTATCTCCATAGGGTATGAGAGCAATGTAATAAGAGGAAAAGAAAACATAATAATGATGCATTAAAAAATAATGATTGTCATTGTAATGATCAATTTATAAAGTCCCCCATGAATAATTTACCTTCTTCTTCTCTCGATAACGTTAATTCTCCTTCCTAAGCTCCCACGTAAATAGGCAGGACTAGTTATGATTGCAATGATCATGGTCCTTACATTTTGCATGTTCATAAAATACAGTCTGCGGAAGACGATGGCACCAATCTGCATCCTATTGTGTTCGGTAGGTTTAAAAAAAAATGATTTTAAAAATATTGTAAATGGCAGTTTAAAAAGGATAGGAAGAAACAAAATGTCTCTTTCTTTTAATAATTATTTAGATGCCATGAGCTTTGTCCAGTCAAACTGTTTATCTGATTTGCATTCAACGATTTGGGATTCAACATATTGCAAGTTCAACTTTTAGCGAACTCAACATTTTAGGAATTCAACATTATGAGACCAGTAAATTCAACTTTTTACGACTTCAACATTTTGGCAATCAACATTTTGCGAATTCAACATTTTGCAAATTCAACATTGTGGTCCTGAAGGGAAAATAGGTTGAAAGTATATATACCCACCTCTAATATTACCAGAATGGGATTAGTAAGAGGAGTTCCAACTGAGTGGTCTCCCGAAGACATAAAGGAAAATACTAATGTGCCCATGGGATGTGGTGATATAATCAAGGTCAGACGTTTAAATTATAAGGTAATTGTAAATGGTGAACCATCTTGTAAACCCTCCCAAACAGTTGTATTGACGTTTGATGGCCAAGTATTACCTAAACGTGTTTTTATGTTTTTATTATTTGCCTGTACAACTATATAATTACCCAACTATACAGTGTTATAACTGCTGTCGTTTTGGCCACACAAAAACAAAATGCAGGTCCAAGCCAAGATGCTTTAAGTGTGGGCAAGGTCATACTGGTGACAACTGTAATGTTGAGGAAGACCAGGGCTCTTGTTGCTTATGTTCTGGGCTACATTTTGCGTCAAGCAAAAGATGTCCAGAATATTCTAGACAAAAAGAAATAAAAATTACCATGGCTGAAAACAGCATATCGTACATGGAAGCATCAAAACTACACCCATTAATAACTAAATCATATGCTGATGTCTTAACATCCATACCAAATAAAACTTTTCAGGCAGGAAATACTATTGTACCCGGCTCACTCCCATCACGCATACCCCCCACTAAACCTAATAAAGGTTATGACCGTGAAGCTTATGATTCTCTTGTAAAGAATTACAACATGCCCACACCCTCTAATGGTTGTGCATTACAAACCTCATCCAATGCTGACAAACAGAGTGACCAGAACTTAACAGACTTAATTAAAACTTTAATTAAATTGTTATCTCAATCAAATTTAACCGTATCGACCAACGCTGCTACTTTATTCAACCCTAACATTAATAATAATAGTCATATTGGACAGGATAGTTCAGTGGAACTGCAGAAGTATCATAAGCAAAAAACATGAACTTGTACATATTGTAAATACTTTTAACCCTCTTATTCTTTCTTTATCTGAAACATGGCTTATGTTGAATTATACATTTAAAATCCCTGGCTATTAATGTTTAAGGAATGACAGGGCTGATGGGTATGGCGGTGTGTGCCTGCTTTTCAGAAACTCTCATCTTATATCTCCTCTTCCTCTTCCTTCACACAGTGATGATTTTTCTATCATTGCTGCTATTGTTGATAATATTTGTTGTTTCCATCTATATACCACATCCTTCTTTACAAGTCTTTAGTGAAATTAGAAATATAATTTCACTCCTTCCTCATCCTTTCATGATCTTGGGTGATTTTAACTCTCATCACACCTGTAGTTCCTTTTCTAATTGTTATGGCCATGAATTGTTGGATATTTTGACTATTTTAAATCTGTTTTATTACAAGCTGCTGATATTGTTTTTCCTAAGCGAAAGCCACGTAATAATAAGTTGTCATCACCACCATGGTGGGATGAAGAAACCAGTGCTATATCTAGGCGGAAACTTGCTGAGAGCAACTATCGCATTAACATGTCATTGGAGAATTATGACGCGCTGTTGGAGATAATGAAAGAGACACGGAAGTTGTTTAAGAAAAAGAAGTTCGATGGTTGGAGGAATTTTTACAGTTCCTTGTCACCCGAAACACATTCGTCGGTTCTTTGGCGAGTAATTAAGAGATTTAGAACAGCCAGTGTAATTATTATTTTTTTCTAAATAACAATACCACATAAGCTAATATTTTTTACAGGTATTTAAACCAAACGATACGTAATTAATTAACAAAAATAATTATTTTACGCAAACAAAAAGTCTCGAAATAAATTAAGTAAGAAACCATCGTTTGGAAAACTCATTTTCAACCGACTTCAAACAAGCTCTCTCTTATGTATGTATGTATGATATGTTCGATTGTATGTTTATTACATATGAACTCCATCATGAACCGATTTAAAAAAATATTTTTGAATTGGGTTCAATTTACCACCCATTTGATTCCATATTAATTTCATTGGACTCTGGAAATATATCGTGACATACAAGTGAAATCCTCAAATCAAATAGTTAGTGAATTTAGTCTTATTATTTTCCCTGGGCTGACTTCGATCCGCAATTTCTGAATCCTAGGGTAGGCTGTTGCGTATAGGGCCACTTGACCTTAGCGAAATCAAGCATTGGGAACGGAAAAGGGATAGCTTCTTTTTTATGTGAAAAGGTGGCGAGCGAGCTGGCGGTTCACTTGATGTTAGTGATAACCGCCGCCCATGGACATTTGCAATGCTCGTAGAATTGCAGATGCGTTACTACCACCTTCTAATAAAGTGGGCCCCGACTACCTCACTCGCGAATAGACGAAACGCAGAAGTATAACTATATTACACTTCACAGCGGTCTTCTGTTAGTTCGTGGTATTTACCCGGACGGACATGCTTATGCTTGCAAGTGAAAACTAAAATCAAGTAATAATTTTTTTTATTGGGAAATTAAACAGTACATTAAGGCGCTGTATGCAGTAAAAATAGGTTTTTCAAAAGATTTTTTAGCAAAATCTACACATTTTATAGCAGCACAAAAAAATATGTTAATCTTGATCGTACATTCTAAGGCAACATTGTTTCCAAAACATATTCTCGATATATTTTCTCGTTAGAAAAGAATCATGAAACTACCTCTTAAAGAGAAATTCAAATCCAAAAATGAACGTAATACATCAACAAATCTTAATGAAATTAATATCAGTGGTGTAGAATATATTAATAAAAAGGATTGTTGTTTTAATTTGTTGATTGATGTAAGATATTTGTAAATATTAATTTAATTCATTAAAATTAATTTGAACGCGATGGCCAAAACACCGCGCCACCGCGGCGTTGTTTCGGTTCTCTTCCAACTCCACACGTTGAACAGAGAGCGCTGAGGCGCCTTGCTACATGGACCTATGCCGCTTATCGCCCGCTCACCGTTACGAAATATGTTTCGTATTTATTTATTATTGACAGTTTTAATATTATTAGACTAGGGATGAGGCGTATGTACTGGAACAGGTATAAATACCCAAAATGAACATACCAGTACGCACACCGGGTATGTACGGCAGAGGCCCGATAGGTATGGCTGGGTATGGCCGCCTCGTCCGACGGTGGCGGTATATAACGCTCGCGACAACCCGCCCGCATACCGGGTATGACGTATGTACGGCAGAGGCCCGTTCCATACCCGATAGGTATGGCTATGGCCGCCTCGTCCGACGGTGGCGGTATATACGCTCGCGACAACCCGCCGGCCGAATAGGTACGAAGTTCCCCGAACGCTTACGGCGGCTCTTTCCGATCATGCCCGAATTGAAACGTATGATTTAGGCATTTTATACCAAATATTTCCTTGAGATAAATTTATTCTTTATTTCTATGACAATTAGGTAGATAAATAATTGCGTAATAAGATTAAACAGTAATATTTATTTTGAATTACTTTTTTTTTTATAATAGGGTTCTTTACGCTGGTAAAGATGGCGCTTAATTTAGACTGATTAAATCTCAATTAAAAAAAATATATTGCTAAAAAACATCTAAATGTTCCAATTCCAACCAAATAAAGGTTCAATTCCATACCGGGTCTCCATTAGGAGGCCTGAACATAACTAATACCTATAGGTATTTTGATACTGGGTTTTAGCACCGGGTATACGGCGATACCCGTGCTTTTGAGGCCGGGTATAGAATGTTGCAGGTATATCTCATGCCTATATTAGACCTTCCAAAACACGAAACTTAAGGGCATTTTACTTTTAGCGTTAGTTAAATTGTGTAGCCGGCTGGAGACGAACGCGGCTCTATTGCGAACGTTATTAATGTGCGTAGTAAATGACATACGCGAGTCGAAAATGACTCCTAAGTATTTGACCTTTTTCTCCCAGGGGAGCGGTTGGCCATAAAGGGATATTTGCCCCAACTTTCTGCATTAGCGAAGGCCATTATAAAGATGTGACATGTACTTCTTGTGAAGTGAATCGCACACTCTTTTCGGGATTTATTTCTATTCTCCATTTGCGGAACCAATCGCCGAGATGGTCGGCGGCGCTTTGGAGTCGAGTGGTTAGTTGACTAAGGTTGCGATCTGAATAAAAGAGCGCCGTGTCATCCGCGAAAAGCGCGAAATTGACGTGGGGGTCTTTAGGTATATCGCTCGTGTAGAGCGTAAAGAGCAAAGGTGAGAGGCAGGAGCCTTGTGGTACGCCTGCCGTGAGGCGGCGGCTTGTGGAGAGGGCGCCTTCAACTCGATATCGAAAAGAGTGGTACGACAGGAAGGCCCGGATGGTGCCGCGATGGCGCCGCCGCCGCAAGCCGTTGTGCTAGACTTTGTCCAATGCTTTTGAGACAACGAAGAAAAGAGCCCCTGTACTAATATGTTTAGGGTGATTTAGGCCTTTTAGGATAAGCTCCGTTAGGCGGAATAATTGATCGGGACAGGAATGTCTAGCTCGAAAGCCGAATTGTTCCACCGGCAGAAGGCCAACACCGTTGGAAAACACGTGCTCTTTGAGCCTATTATAGAATGTAATAGAAGCCGCTCGTAGGGCTTACCCAGGCAACTGAGGAGGCTAATGGGACGATAACTAGAGGGCTGCTTGGCTGGTTTATTCGGCTTTGGAATGCCGATAACCGTAGCTTCTTTTCAGTCGTCTGGAAAGGAGCAACTGGAGAGTAAAGTATTGAAAATGGTCACCAGTAACAGATAAGCGGCCCAGGGAGAGCTTTGAGAATTTAGTTACTAAGATTATCTGGGCCCTTAAATTTTTAATAATGTTTTGGCTCTCTTCAGGGGATCACTGAACTCAAAGGATCGCCTTCCGGTGGAAGCGCAGCCCTAATCTCGATTACGCGGTCCACCTCCGTTAGGTGGGCTGTATCGGTGTGTTCGCGCGATGGCGTACATTGCTGCTCTAGGTTGTTCGCAAGGAATTCGGCTTTTTCGGAGTCATCTAGGGCTGCTGAAGCGCTATTAGTTCTAACTAACGGCGGTAGAGATTCGCGGGGGTCTGCTTTCAGACTGCGGGCCAACCGCCAGTAGGCTGTGTGCGATGGCTTGATGTCCTCTAGGAGGGTGTCCCACGTGGTATGAGGGTGTTCCGATACACGATCTTTGACTTCTAGCTGAAGGCGTCTAAGTAGGGTTCGGTTCGATTCCGATCGGTATCGGTCGAAAGCGCGTTTGGCTGCATTTTTTTGTCTAATTAGCAGTCTTAGGTCGGGCGGAAAATTAAACAAACCGTCGGTCGCCTGACAGTTTCACCGTCCGTTCCGAGTCTGCGACTGCGGAAGTAATAGATTCTCGGACACTTGCTATCGCTCGATTTGCGTCATCGAACGTAGCTATCGTCTCGGGTAGGTTGACTATGTCCTGGGGGTCCAAGGCCCTGAGTTTGACCTCAAGACGATGCCAGTCCACTACAGATTTGGTCGGAGGGACCACGCCGGCGTTCTGGCCCAGTTTACACTGGACGGGCCCGTGATCTGAATCTAGCTCATGGATTTTCTCTATCGACTCGATGTCGAGCGAGACCCCCTTGAATAACATGATATCTAGGATACTCGGTGTCGCATTTTGGTAGTTGTCCACCGTAGGATACCTAGTGGGAGTCGCAGGAGCGATTATGCTAAAGTTTAAATTATCGAATAAGCTAAAGAGATGCTTTTCGTTGTTATTTGGGATGCTGTGGATGTCCCATGAGCCGTGTTTGCAATTTAGATCTCCTGCAATTATCACGGAAGGGCCTAAGTTGCGTATCTTTAGGTCGCTTGGTAATAAGGTTTTGTTCCCTGAGAGGTAGGCTGCGACTAGTACAAGCGGCCTATGGCCGGTGAGCGCCAACCTACACGCGGATGCCTCTATATGGCTTAGCTCTGGAATGTCGAGCGGGCCACAGTGCAAGGACTGTTTGTAATAAATTAAGGTACCTCCCAGACGGTTTGCTAACCGGTCGTGGCGGACTATGTTGTAGTTTGCGATTCTGGGATCGCGAACACTATGGAAGATCTCTTCACTATATTAAGAAGGTCTCTTGCACTAGAAAATATCTACATTATAATCGCGAAGGAATTCTGCGATTTCGTCTCTTTGACCCTTAATGCCGTTTGCGTTGAAATACGAAACAATCAGAGCCCGAGAATTTGTTCTACCTGCGGTTGTACTTTCCATAAAAGTTTTTTATGAGTTCTAACTAACGACGCGGCGGAGCGCGATTTTATTGCGCGGACTATAGATTGCGCTCTTCGGGCAACGAGTAGGTATGAAAACCTACCTTATTTTCGCGTAAGAACTTGGTTACGCGGCGGAAATCGTCCGTAGTATCTAGGTACACGCGGATACCCATTTGAGTATTTTTTGACCAGGGATCGCGGATGTTGTGGCGTTCAAACCACGAGTATAAGCAAAAGGCAAAGCGGCATCAGTTATGCCGCTTTGCCTTTTCTTGAATTATAATTGGAGGCGGTGGCTTAATTTTTCGCTCGGCGGCGAATTCAGGTTTCGTTTGGGGAAGTCGCGGCTGCCTTTTTGGCGGGCGTCGCGTCGGTTGGACGAGGCGGCCTCGCATTCGCGGTCGCTGTAAGTTGCGGGGCGTTTTTTGCCCTTTTTGCGCGACTTTACGACGGTGAAGCCGTCATCGTTCGGGTTATCAGCGGGGGTCGTTTCGACCTCCATGTCCGAGCCACCGTCCGATTGTGAGTCGGGAACGACAGCGCAGAAGGGGGCTGGCGTTTGGGTTCGATCGCAGCGGCGAAAGTCGACGCGACGGGCGTAACTACTGTCGCTGGAGGCGACTCGTTAGCGGGCGCAGAGGGCACCGGAGATGGCTGCGAGGCGACTGTTGGTGAAGCCGGGCTGTCGCTGGCGAACTCAACGACTAAACATTTTTCTTTCGCGAACGCGAGAAAGTTTCCCTACACTTCGGGACATCGTTGGCGAAGGAATTCCTCTAGAATGGGTTCCCCATTTCGAGCGCTTGCGCCCCGCCGGCGTGTAGTTAACTAAATAGGCCTCCCCACCTGGTGGCAGGGAGGTGTGTGTCTTAAAATAACAACTAATTCGCCTGCGCTTTAGGTATGCTAGGATGGGTACCTAGCTGTCGCCTATCGCAACAAGCACACAGTTATTAAATAAAACAATGCCGCCTCAGAGGCGAGAAGTGTATAGAATTCTACTTACAGAACAGGAACCTGCCTTCGAGCACAACACTACACTAACACTAAACTACTGCACTGCTTGCACAAAGATTTAAATTGCAACCGAAGTTGCGAGTAGCGTCTAATTCGGGTGGCATGAGCCCTCCGTCCTATAAAGAGGTCCGTTCCGTACAAGAGCACGAAAAGGAATGTAATTTATAGTTTATATAACTCTATCGCCATCTCATCTAGCACTACGAAGCGTCGCTTGCTGCCCAGCATTTGTCTACAATTTTCAATTTCGTGTCAAATGAAACTTACAAAAAATATAAGGAAAATGGACATTTAAGTATTTTGTAAAAGATATAACATTTTCTTTAATGAAATGTGTATTTTGCGGGAGGCTGTTTTATTTTAGACTTAGCCACCTAACGATATTTTTATATATAATTATAATTTTGGTTCTTTTACTCCTTACATTTTAAATACATTTTATTTGCATTTAAAAGTATCTATTATTATTCCTTTAGTTTTACTATTGCAACTCTTTCATTTCATTTATAATGACGACATGGACTGTTACACATGTAAAAAATTATATTATTAATTGAAAAAAATAATTTATTACTATTAGAGACTATACGTATACGACAGATACGACAGTTTTCAATTGCGTGCGATAATCTGTGATTTACTAGTAGTGTGTAGTGGCTAGTGAGCTAAATTTTGTACGAAATGAAAATGTTATGTTGAAGTTCGAATTATTAATTACTGTTGTTTTGTTTCATGCCATGCCATTTTGATATTTGCTGTGCCTGCAATTCGGGAGTACTTTGTGTGAAGTGATGAACTTTCAAGACGTGTATCGCTAAGTACTGCAAATGTTTTAATACACAGGCAAGCGATTGTTACGCCAATTACATAAATGTTACTGCTGGTTACTAATTTAGAGCGAAGTATGCTACACTTTCAACAAGTTCACGAGCAAGACGTGTAACTGTAACTTGGCTCTGCAAAAAAGTGAAAGTATAAACGCATAAAATCTAAATCGGGGAAGTTTCCAATCTTAAAAGTAACTGTTTAAAGGTAATGTTATAATTTTTCTAGACTATTATTATCACCATTAATTCAAAAGTTTCTTTTCACTACTTGAAGATTTATCAGTGATAAAGCATATGTTTGCTAAAGATATCTAGATAGTTATATATCTAAATATCTAAATAGTTTTTTATTATACTGTTGCTATAAATTTTATATTATGTTCATATCAAAAAAATTATTGTACTTTGTCATGTTAGATACAACTCTAGCTTTTTTAGAGAAAAGTATAATTTTTCTGAAAATTGGAACTAAAACATACTTTATAGACATTTCTTAGTTATGGGCCTTTTTACATATTTATTTTATAGAATATAAATGGATGACGTTTTTATCTAGGACACGAAAAACGAACAATTGTAAAACAATAAGTTCATAAAACAGTTTTTTTTTCATATGTTTATGCATAGTTTAGACATGTAGTTATTGAGAAAAAAAATATTGAAAGACCACAGAATTTTTGGAATGTTCGGAATGGTGATCTGTTATATTAATCTGATTTGAACTTTTGCTTATACCACATCCCATAAGGCATTTAGGCATTGTTGCAAATTGATTTTATTTAATGTGGAACACAAGAATAACGCCGTAACATTGAAAAACATTTTTACTTTTTCAGTTTACTTTTTTTACTCTTCAAATAAAATAGGTTAGATTCAAGTTATGTCAATGAACCAAATTGATTGACCACAACTAAATCTGGTATGAGTCTGCCCTACCTCTAGTGCTTTTTGGAGCCAGAGGCGTGTAGGGAGAGCAGCCTCTGCCCAATATGAGCAAACTATAGGCAACAGACGAGCCGGATTGGCCGAGGCTGGCATTGTAAGCAACCAACAAGCTGAACCTGTGGAGGCGAGGATGGATACTTACGGTTTTTTACACAAGGGCGTAGAGGCTGCTCTTCCCGCAGCGCCAGAGATGTTGCAGTCTCAAAATAAATAAACTGAAATCCCTCTGAATCAGCAACCCTATTTTTTTCTGATTACGGCGGAACCCATTCCCTCCAAGGGTTCCCATAATTAATTCATGAAATAAAGAAAATTTCTGCCAAATTTAAAAAACTCGAAAAGGGAGGGTGGGGGGCCTCCGCAACTTTACCCTTTTAAGGGGGCATAATACCCCTCCTCCCCCACCCTAAAACAAATTATATTGATATATCATATTAATTTCGGGAAAGTTCTAGTACAATATAAATATATATTATTCGACCCGAATGGCGTAGTGGGTAGTGTACCTGCCTCCTCCGCCAGAGGGTGTGGGTTCGATCCCCACTACTTGAAAAATATTGTGTGATGAACATGGTGTTTTCTAGTGTCTGGGTGTGTCTATATGTATAATATGTATTTATTTACAAAAGAAAAGTATGTTTAAGTATGTTTATCAGTTTCTAGTACCCATAGTACAAGCTTTGCTTAGTTTGGGACTAGAAAATGTTGTGTACAAATGTGTCCTAAATATTTAAAAAAAAAATATATATATATATATTTATTTTATGACTAATATAATATAACCTGTATATTTTAAATAAAACTTAGTTGTATTGCATTAGGGAACACATTTATTGAAATTTTCATATGTATTCCTAATAACAAAAAACTTGTGGTAGAATTATTTTTTTTCTAGTATTACCTCTAGTGGCTAGGTAACTAATTACTTCTTAATTAAGACACTTCCTTCATTTTATTCCCTTCCTTTTGAATACTTTGCAGCATTTATTCTTTTTTCAACTAATTTACATTGTAAGTTAAACAAGTAATTTTAACTACTTGATAAACCATTTACAAATTACTCAATGGTTGATGATACACTTCGTGAATAATGTTTCCTGATAAGCATTGTACCTGTGGATTATAAATAAGTACTGTCTATAGTTAATAGTAAAAACTGTATTTATATACAAAAAAACTATAAAAAATTTATAAAATACAGGAATTATGCAAAAATTTTCTTACAATACAGGAAAATGTTATTAGGTAAGAGTCTACCTTCAATTGAGTGGTCTGCTCTCAGCACTGCATAAAATATTGTACTTATATTTATTACTTTATAATATTGTACAATGGTTTTATATTGTCTGTAATTATCTTATGTAACATCAATTGCTGCTAGGAATTTTAAGACTTCTTTAATATTTTGTACTTCAAAAATTTTTGTTTTTTGCAAATATGTATAGAAGCTGCAAGTGAGGTGTATCTTCTTTTCTGGGCCTTAGGTTTAAGAGTGTATTTAAATGTACACCTAATTGAAATAAATTCAAATTTTTATGATTCCAGAATTTTATTCAAGACTTAAATATGGATGATCATAATCATATGAACATGGACCACTCTCAGCACCATGGCAATCACATGAGGCAAAGTGACCCTCTAAGGGATCACCAAAATCATCTAATGAATGATACTTTGGAAGTCAGTGTTAGTATTTAAAATAATGTATAAATTAGTATACAAAATATAATATATGACAGACTATTTATTGTTTCCATATATTTCTATAAAGCAGTTCGTGTTTTTAGAATATTTTCAATACAAGTTCAAATTTACATCAGAGAGCTAAAGATGATCATTATCATAGAGAGCATAATACTGGAAGCATCAGTGCTCACCACTCCACTCATGGAATGTCTATGACAGTAAGTATACAATTTATCTAAATTAAAATGAGTAAAAAAAGTATAAAATAAATTTAATACATTTCATAGTTCCATGGAGGCTATGCAGAAACTATTCTTTTTTCTTGGTGGAATGTAGCAGACATGGGAGAATTCATTGGATCATTTTTAGCGATATTTATAATGGCATTACTTTATGAAGGGTAAGTTAATGTTATTACACTAATAATTAAAATAAAAAAATAATTGATATTTCATTGGTTAAAATAAATAAAATTTGTAACTATATTTATATCACTTATAAAAATGTTTCTACTTATTTAATATTTTCATTGTACTAAATTGGTATCTGTCTATTGTTTGAATAAAGAAGAAAGGTTAATTTTACCAATTTTATCAAACATATAAGTTTCTATCGGTTCCATATACCTAAATCCCTTTTTTTAATTGATTGATTTTTAGGGTTCCGTACCCAAAGGATAAAATGGAGACCCTATTACTAAGATTCCACTGCATGTCTGTCCATTTGTCACCAAGCTGTATCTCATGAATCTCTATAGTTAGACAGTTGAAATTTTCACAGATGGTGTATTTCTGTCGCCGCCATAATAACAAATACTAAAAAAACAGGATAAAAATTGGGGCTCCCCATACAACAGAAATGACTTTTTTTGCCATTTCTATAATGGTAACCCATTGAGGGCGAGTCCAAATCGCACTTAGTCGGTTTTTTTTCTTCGGTTTATACTGTTCATACATCCAAAAATATTTGTTTTACTTGAATATATTATTAATTATATAGTTTATGTATAATTTTATACACAAATATATTCGAAATCTGTCATTATATCAAACAAAACTGATTATAAAACATGTACAGTATTTGGGATATATTATGAACAACAATGGCAGATTTCAATCAACAGACATTCATATTTTAAACATAACTTGTATTGTGTTCATATGATACATACAACATGGTTACAAGCAAAAAATACATTAGTAACATTACTACTTTAAATTTATCATATTGTAGTTTGTACAAAATTCATATTTTTTATCTATAGAAAAATTGTTGCAGGCTAAAGTATTACAGGAAACATTTACTATGGAAAACATACACAGGATTACAGTATTGTGCTGTAGCACCCCCTGATAAGGGTGTATCAAATATTTGTGCTGCAGATGAACCTCAAGTTATACAGTTGAGTAAATCTAAAATAAAACAATGATCTTAAAATAACTTTCAAACTTAAAAATTGAAATTTCATTGTCAAATTTTCTTTTAGGTCCATGCCTCATGTACTGGAGAGGAATATGTAAGTTGCTAACATTTTTTATTAATTATTTAATGAGAATTAACTAGTTTTGTGGGGTATTCTAAAATTAAAGTAATGCCATAATTTATTTTTAGTCCCACCATGATGAGTGCAGCTCATGTGTGGCAAACAGTGCTACATGGGATACAAGTGCTTGTTAGCTATATGCTTATGTTGGTGTTCATGACTTACAACACATGGTTATGCGCTGCCGTTGTTCTTGGATCTGCTACAGGTTATTTTCTGTTTGGTTGGCGTGAATCTGTTGTTGTAGACTTTACTGAACACTGTCATTGACCAATGTTAAGGTCATTAAGCCAGATAAGTATTATTATTGGTCATGTATCCAAACAGCTTATAAAATACAATATGGTTTATATCATGGTGTTATTATTATCATGTCGTAATAAGGCAGCCTTTTTGGGTGATATAGTTACAGTTATATATTTTTTAGAATATTTAGGTTACAATTTGATGAATATTAAAAGTTTTAAATTATAATTTTTTTTATTAATTACCTTCATCATCATCCTACCCTTATCCCACCTTGATGGGGTTGGCAACATGTGAATTGTGTTGTAAGCGCATTGGCTGTTTCTTACGACTCAGTTTTGCTGCAATTCTCTGTGGGACACACAAATACTTGTCCCATGTGGGAATTGAACCCACTACTCCCGATGCCAATAGCTTAGCAACTGCACTACCACATCATTTTTAATCATTACTTTATTCAAGCAATACTCGGTAGCATCAGGATAGAGCTACACCCACGAAAGTGAAGAGGTATAAAATGACGAAGGTATATAATAGACGTAGGGAATTTATGAACAAATATCAATTAAAAAACATTTACCTACAGCAAATATTACATACAGCAAACTTTAAAAAATATAAGATTATTGCATGTTTAAAATTTGTAACCTATGGTTGGAAAAATGACAAACCACACATTACAGGATTTAATGCCACTGATGACATTAATTTGTTATTAAAAATTGGTAATATGGTGCATAATTTACTACTTTATATTGATTTTTTATATAGAATAAATACCAAACACATTTAATGCTGTATGCTTACTTTATTTCCCAATTTTTCCCAAATTCCCAATTTTTTTATGACCAATGTCATCAGTGGTATTAAAACTTATAATGTGTAGTTTGTCGTTTATATTTTTAAATGTTATATAGATCAATTTAATCAACAATTTGTGGTGTTTGCATAACCAATACTTCTTATCGCCATTGAATGAATGAATGAATGAATATACTTTATTGCACACCAAAAATAAAACAAACAAAAATTAAAACTTAATGTAGAAGTAATGGGTAAAATGGGCGGCTTTATTTGCCATTGATGCAAACATTTCAATGAAATCTTAACTTCAGGTTTCAATAATAATTAATAAAATAAAGGATGCGACTGTATACACAAAGTGAATAGATTATATGTACCACAACTACAGATTATTTAAGTGTCAATAATTATTAAGAGTATTTTGAATGTCTATGTTGACAATGTTTTTTTAAATTGGAACTGCTATTACATTTATAACTACAATATTTGCACACATATGGGCGTTCAGCTGTATGAATCCTTCTATGAACTGTTAGAGAATTTACAAAATTAGTCCTAAATGTACACTGATCACATAAAAATGGTTTTTCGGTTGTGTGTTTCCTTTTATGTTTGACAAGATTAGATGACAATTTAGTTGTATATGAACATTGAGGATATTGACAGGAATATTGTTTATGAACAATTATGTGCTTTTTAAAATCAATCTCATTTTTGCATCTGAAACAAATCATCTGCTATAAACTATGGCACTTTAAAAAGAAATAAATACTGAAACATAACTGTGCTTACCTATAGGAACAATTAATACTGTTATTTAATTCTTCATTACTGTCTTTTATTTCAAATATTACTGATTTTGGAACTGATTGCTCTGTAGCGTCTATTAAACTTTGATTACTTTTTGCAAGTAATTCAGAAACAATAGATTTTGGTTGTGGGCTAAATTTTATTACTTTTGAGCTAATTGGTCTTCCTCTGGTATTATTCAATTGTGTTAAAACATTTTTTGGTATTGTTGATCCTTTAATACCTCTTAATGGATCTTCCATTTTTACCAAAGAGAATATAAGTAATCACTACATTTGAGAGACGGGACTTCCATATTATCCAAAAATATCAGTTTACTCCACAGTCCACAGAGACTACTAAGATGATATGCATATGCATAGATAAGACATATATACTGAAATGCATATGCATCAGACGGGAATCTTCATACAACCAATCACAGACTACTAAGATGATATGCTCAAACGGGAATCTTCATAAACAACCAATGAACCAATAGAGGCACGGTAGCTTAGAATTTGACATGTATAATTTTTTTATTTTCTTAAGTTTTTTTAGGCAAAAGCAAACCGTCTAAGAGGCCAAATAGGGAAGTGCAATATTTTCATTTTTGGTTTTATTTGAATGGATTTCATGTAGAATAGACCACAAGTATATTAAAAAATTAAAATACCGTAATTTATTGTATAAAAGTGCGGTTTCAAATTGATGGTTTAAATTTTCGCGCGACAACGGATCTACAATTGCGATGACGTTGCTCCTGCCTGTCACTTGCCTTACCAACTTGTCATATAAATATAATATTATTCAGTGATGTGAAAAATGATTCTGTGATCTGAAAGTCTATGGTGTGACTGCGACTTAATATGAAAAATCACCGTGACAAAATCACTTCATTCCACGTCACTATTTCGCTCACACTCATCACAGTGAATGAAACGAAGCGATTTTCGAACAATGACAAAACGCGACGGGATCGCTGCTCCTAGCCGGCGCTGACGATGAGTGCCGAAGGGTTTCCTTCTCCAAATTTTATGGCGCGCGTTACTTCGAAAATAAGAGTAAAAGAGAAATTTTGTTCATATTTTTTATCGCGATTTTATATTAGTATAAAAAGCTTAACAAATTTAGGCATGTCAGTGAAGTAAGAGTATAATTTAAAATAAGATTTTAATTTTGGTGGTTTCAAAATTTTATCTATATTCATTACCTCTTTTGTTATAAAATTGAAAATATATTTCGAAAATGCGTTAATCTCTGCGGGTAATAAATGACTGCGGGGCACAACTCCTAAAAATCGTGTTTTGTAAGCATTGTGATATGTCACGAGTATCACTCAGTAGTTATATGATCGAAGTGACAAAGTCGCAGTGATTTATCACTGTGATTTTTATGGGGCTGGAACACCGGTCACAGTGATTAAAAAGTAGCACTTTCTCTCATGCCTATTCCACTGTCTTCTCTATTTTCCTTGGTTTTTATTTTTGACTTAAGCTTTCGGGACAAATCATTCCGCGAGTTGGTAACATTGCCAATGGTTTTCACAAGATGACAGTTATGAGATGAGTTATTTATCTATTCAAATTGGGAGTTTGTGTAACAACTAAGTTAGACTCAGAATTATTATAAGAACATTATTTTTTTAGAATGTCACAAGAGATCTCCTGTGGCTTGGAATATGTGGCCACACCAGATTTACAGGCATGTCTTACAGAAGCACTACATTTTAATTACTCCTTTATTGTTACACCCGTAGTCCATCCACGTTTTCGGCGTGGCTACGTATCTGGTTTGAGTAAAGTTGGAGGATTTACTCGATCTGATATGATATTATCGCCTCAAGATTGGACAAGTCGGATAGTTGCAAAGATATCAACTTATATTTCTGTGGATTCAGAGTCCGCGGTAGTTCGTCAGCGACATGAGGATTGTTTAAATGAGGAACTGTCACACTGTCGAGGTCTAGGTGTTCCTGCCATAATGTTGTCTTTACGTTCTAGACGCACTAATAATTTGACTAGAATTCTTCAAACTTATTATGAATCCAGGTTTGTTGTAATTAAATTACAGTCATTATCCATGAATTTGGTAAAATTATAGAATAAAAAAAAATGTACTAATTTATACATGAAACAAAATTTAAGAAATATATTTTTCGGTAGAATTAACTAAACATTTTACAGCTTCAAGAGGACATGATCCCAAGCTTTTCATATTTTTTGTGAAAAGATGGCAAATGAGATATTAGCTCTCCTGCTGTTATACAATTATCGCTGCTAATGGCCATTTGCACCACCTGAGGTGATGCAGTTAATGAAAGGAAAGTAAAGTAGCAGTTGTATGTCCCACTGCTGGGTAAAAGCCACCCTCCGAACAGAGCATATTAGGCCATAGTCCACCATTTGTCCCTACTGTGGATTTGTTGACTTCAAATATTTTCCAAAAAAAAATTTTACTTAATTTCTCAAATATGCAGGTTTCCTCACGATGTTTACTACAATGCAGAGCAATTGATGAGTCAACATTATTCAATGAAAAAGAATATAAAAACTAAAAATTCTTAAAAGTATTCATTAAAAAATTGATTTCATTGTTTTGGAAGTTCCACTTTCCTTCGTGTAAAAATAAAGTGATGTTTACTTTTTAATTATAATATCACACACATTTCTCTATTGTTTAGAACTAATTCAAACCAAAAGAAATTAAGAAATGTTCCATACTTTTTTTATTATGTGAGAATGTGGCAAACAAGCTGGCTGTTCACCTGATGTTAAGCAATAACCGCCGAACATTTATATTTGCAACACATGTAGGGTTGAAGATGTGTTGCCACCTTTCAATAAAGTGGGACTCATTCACCAGAAAAAATGCTGAAGCATAACACTTCCATTTCATGCCAGTCTTCTGTAAACTCTTTTCTTTGTGTCATAGTTATCTTCTCTACAAGCCCTACAAATCTTATGAAAATCCATTAAATCTGACTTTCAGCTATCACCCTTCCCTCATTTGGGCTTCAGTACCCATGGTTTGCTCTTATACTGCGCGCTGTAATAAACAAGCTGAGGATGAAGAAAATGAAGATGCTTGGAATGAGACATGGCATTGGTGGTCCAAATTTCATGAGAGATTAGATTGGGATAAAAGAGTTGGTGTAGTTTTAGAATTGTCTGCAGACTTACCATCCCAAAAAATATTGAAAAGGTGGCTTGGGGAACCAGTGAAAGCTATTGTGGTGCCAACATCTATTTTTCATAATAACAAAAAGGGGTAAGTAAAATTTATGCTATATTAAGAAAAACAAGGTTTATCACAAAAATACCACAGGTTTTTAATATTAAGAAAGAAATCAGTAGTTGCTGTATGACAAGATCATAAAAATCCTAACATTCAGTATCATTCACAGAACTTTATATAGATATTCATCACACAAATCAATAAAAAATATATACCAATAGCATAGACAAATATTAGCTTCACATTATTGTTGGGGTCGTACTAGGTAATAGTAGGAGGCATTATTTTGGAACTACAATATTATTTTAAATAATCATAATGAGATTAATTCTTATTATATTCATGATTAAAAATTATAAGTTCCATACTATATTATACAATTAAGTCGTCATATATATTGGATATTTAAAAACCTTTATGATTAAAAACATCTAATTAAAAAATAATAAAAATAGCACTGCATAAAGTCTTTATGTGCCATAACCATATTCTATCTTAGTATTCCGTTGTTTACTGTAACAAAGCTTGGCATGTTTAAGAATAATATTGGTTGGTCTCAAAGTTTTAACTGTACCATCCAGAATACACTGAGTGGGAGGCTTAGGTACAGAATAGTTGAATGGTAAAATAAATTGTTAAGTACAACTAACTACACTAACATATGTTAAGTAAAATTTAATATTATTACTAACAACATTGGATGATCCATCCAAAATAAAAACTATATTATTTTCATTAAATGTTGCATTTTCAATACATTCAAGAAATTACAAAATGCAATGATTATTCTCAGAATCAGTTTCCCCTATTGGGATTAAAAAAGTAATAATTTGTATATTTTAAGACAAAAAATATGTAAATATTAATTTTCAGATACCCAGTATTGTCAAGAGCACATCAGCAATTAGTTATTAATATGGTTGAGCATGAAGCTCAAGTAATAGTTAGTGGAGCAAGAAGATCTAACATTGAATACTATTTACAGTATTTATATCGGCTATGGCAGAGGAGGCCTTATAAAGCTGATGACCCTATGCTCAGTTATGCCAGAGGGTAGGTTTTGTCAAACATTTGGCTAGGAGCCAGTAAATTGTCATAGTTTGAAAAGTTGCATATGCCCACTTTTGTGCAACCAGTTCTGTTAAAAAATAAATATTCCCCATTCACCTCACCTTTGGCTCACCCTGTAGCCCCTTAAATCCTCATTCTCTTCTGCACAATCCAATGCTTTTTTCAAGATGTTTGCCAATCTCTATACAATTGTTTATTTGAAAAATTAAAGAATACAATCATATTTACTTCATTTGTGCAATTTACTTGTATGCATTACTTTGACTGTGTTTTGAAGTTATGCTTCTATAAAAAAAAAAAGATTATCATATAATATAATCACATAGAAAAAGAATCTGCAGAGGCACCCAATATACTACAATTGTATATTTTATGGCAAGAAAAACTTGTATGCTATTACTCATTTTTATTATCAGTTGGATTTCCTGACCTATTGGTACATAAAATCTACCATCAGGCAGAAAATCATTTCCTTCTTTTATATTTTACACTTATTATCCTTAATAATAGTTATAATAAAAGTATTTAAATAAACAAAATAATATAATTGCATACTATATTACTTTATGTTTTCAATAATTTTAATAAATTCAGGTGGGAAGATTATCTTCAGACACCCTTGCAACCTCTTGCAGACAACTTGGATACGCATACATACAATGTCTTTGAGAAAGATCCTGTAAAATATGATCAGTATCAAAAAGCTATCACTCAGGCTTTAATAGACTTAAGACAAAAGAGGCAAATTAAAGAGAGTGCTGAAGTCTTAAATGATCTCTGTGTAAGTACTTTATTTACAGTGTCACATTCATTTTAATTTGATTATGATATTTAGGTATATTGAAACCAAGATGTGATGTGATTTTTATTTATGTTTACAATTTTATGATTGCTTATTTCTGAACATATTTTTATTATATACTTAGCAAGACGGTGCTAAGTAAAATTGAAAGGACCTTTTCTGTTTTACACTATTTTATTTTTATTTCTAGAATGAAGTTAGTGAATTTTCCGTATCCAATGATAAAAAAGAAATTGGACAAGGTGACAATCTTGTGCAACAAAAAGAACCTGTAACAATAATGGTTTTAGGAGCTGGAAGGGGTCCTCTTGTAAGAGCTACATTAAATGCTGCTGACATTACACAAACTAAAGTTAAGGTATTTTTTTTATTAAAGATAGTTATTAACTTTTTATGCTTACAGCTATATATACAAGAAAATAATTAAATATTATAAGTCAGTTTTTTAGGTAATTAGTATAAGTTTTGCCCTGCCCCATAAAAAAATTATATTTTTAAAAACATTAAAAACACTATTTAACACTTGTGTCAATTGTTTATATGGGTATAAAAAATGGTAATTTTTTTTAAGGCATGGATTTTTTTAACGTTAATATTATTTTATGATTATTGGCAAGTAGCGTTAGAAATGTGTTGATTTATTGTCGCGGTGGTAACGACACGCGTATATTGCCTTTTCCAATATTATGGGCTCATTGATGTATTCTTGAGATAAATAGTATGATATCCCCCTGACCATCTTTTATTAATTGATAATTATCAATTATTACAACCTTACAATTATAATTGTTCTCATCTTTTACACATAGGTATGAAGGACATAAAGGGCCAATGCAAATATTTTAAACAACTTTGTCTCATCATGTAGGTAATAGCAGTTGAGAAAAATCCATGTGCTGTAGTGGTTCTAGTTGCTCAAGTCCGTGAAGTATGGAGAGATCGAGATGTTATAGTAATACCTGGTGATATGAGGCATATAAATTTTTCTCCAAAAGCTGATATAGTTGTCTCTGAGCTTTTAGGTGTGTATGTATTCTTATTTGTCTTACGTTAAACATAATGTTCAACCATGTTGCAACGATAAGTGTTATGTTTTAGGTTCATTTGGCGATAATGAACTTTCTCCTGAATGCTTGGATGGAGCAGCAGGCCTTTTAAAACCCGATGGCATATCTATACCTAAAGAATACAATTCTTATGTTGCACCAATATCTTCACCTCGACTATGGGCTGCAGCAAAGGCAGCATCTGCTACACCAGCACAACATAAGAACAAAAACCTAGAGACATTGTGGGTGGTGTATATGCAAAATAAACATGACATTGCTGAAACTAAGGTACATTTTATCGATTATCTTAAATTTCATCCTGTAACATATATACATAATTATTTTGAAATTACAGCCTGTGTTTACCTTTAAACATCCAGCTAAAGGTACAATGGATTATGAAGGGGAGGAAGTAACTGATTATAGAGGGTTGCCTCTAACAGATAATAGAAGGTGTGCCACTGTTTCCTGGATTGTTGACCAAGATAATGTAATGCATGGCTTTGGAGGATATTTCGATTGCTCACTTTACGGAAATGAAATGATAAGTATTGTACCATCATCACATAGTCCAGGAATGATATCATGGTTTCCAGTTTTTATACCAATCAAGGTACATATTTAATAATCTTTCAAATGTCTTATGTTGTTTTTCCTTTAAAGGTTGTGTCATTTAATGATTTTAATTTCAAATATTACTTATTTAGTTTTGTTTAAATCACAATGCCAAGATGTTTACAACTTTTAGTCAGCAATAAAGGAAAACATGATGAAATTTGCATATAGACTATACTCTTATACTCTCTGTACGGAAAAGGCCTTAACCCAATAATAACTTCCATATCATTATAAAATATTTGTTAATAACAATGTGGCATTTTTCATACTTTACCTATATAAAATTCTGAAGTAACCTATTGTATTTTATACTCTGTTTTGGCTTAATATTACAGACACCTTTAAGGGTAAATAAAGGAGAAATAATCACTGCAACATTCTGGCGCTGTGTCAATTCACGTCGAATATGGTATGAGTGGATTGTGGAAGTTGGGAATTGTACCACATCTTTACACAATCCAAATGGTCGAAGTTCGGAAATGCTATTATAAATCTTTTTTTTTATTGAAATAAAAAGAAAGAATAATGTCATTTTTATTTTATTTAACACAAATGGAACCATACTAAAAACCACCACATTCATAAAACTGATAGGAGACTAGTCCCAAATCCCAGTCTTTCATTAATCATAACTAAAATAACTTGAACATCTAATCATAATTTATTGGACTAATAAAAATATTCAATCAATTTAATTTATCGTCAGACATGGTTTGTTCTAAGGATACTCATGCATTGGTAGAAATCTCACCACAATTATTGTAGTATCAATTTTGAAATATTCATTTCTTTATGAAAATCCTTTATATCTTGGTCCCATCGTTTTTCAAAATAAATACCTATAGAATAAAATACCTGTATTAGAAAAAAAATAGTTGTTATTAATCAATCAACTACAAACATTTTAAAAATTATACATACCTTGTAAAAATTTGGCATTATTTCCTGTCATAATTGCCCAGGGTAAATAATATTTCAGGTACAGTTGACGGTGTTTTGGTTTCAATCTTGCTGCTCCCCAAATTCCTCCACTGATACACATTGGAAGTTTTGTTTGTATCCCTTCTACCCATTTGATTGTAACCTTAAACAAAAATTATAGAAACAAACTCACATTTATACACTTGTAACCCAGCCAATACAAAGCTCAAAAATCAAGCTCTCAAATATTTAAAGGAGCACATATATCTGGGACAAATAATCATCATAAACAGATCTAACCACCAATGAAACCCAAAGGAGACCCAATAGATGGAAAAGATATTGGTCACTGAGGGAGATTATGAAATCTGATTTCATTAAAAAAAATTAAGAACAGGGTCTTCAACACCTCTCTCTAAAACTTGGGGACTTTATATAACAGCACTGGAATATGCTATAACACTGCAAAAGAGTAATGGTAAAAATTATACTGAACAATACAAAATATAGATAAGCAAAGAAACACAAACATTAGAGCCAGAACAGGTGTAGCAGAATATCTGTTACACCTGTTCTGGCTCTCACTAAGATCGACACACAAATGATGTGGAGATGGACGAGTCATATGCTATACAGTGAGATAAATGGAGCAAAATATTGACAGAATGGTATCCCAGAAATGGGAAATCAAATATACATGGAGATTTTTTGAGAAGTGCCCAATAATCGTTTATTGAAATAAAAAACAATTTTTTTTTATCCAAAAAAATGCCCTTTTCCCTAAAAAACAGAACGTGTTGACAATACGGTAGTCATTCATAAATACCTAAATTTTACTGTGCACGAACTTGTGTGCGTGTTAGTTATGAATGATCGCGCGTAAAATGAATGAGTAGCATATAAATCACGCACTTTTTGAGATAAGTTCAAACGAATGTAATCAATTACTTACAAGTGATTTTAAATATTTATCATATTTTATATAACTTTATTTATGTCTAGAATTTAATTTAAAAAAAATGGCTTTTCTAAGCCAACCTGTAGGTTGACAATGAAAAGATAGGGGAACAAACTCAAATTAATAGTGGGTTGTAACTGGAGAGTTGGAAGAGTTTTAAAGGATAGAAAACAGTGCAAATTGTTAGAGAAGGCTTTTGCCATGAGGCACACTAAACTCAGGGACATTATAGAAAAACATATGTGTCGTTACCAACGCGACGATAAATGAACACACATATAAAGGATAACTTTTTAAACATGTATCAAAAATTTACATTCTTTAAAAATCAATATTTAAAGAGTTTACAGTACTTTAAACATCAGTATTTACAGAGTAATGTGACACCGTGGCAACAAATGAAAAAGTCTCTGAATGTATGAATCAGTCAGTTGTAGTTTTATAGGATGTTACAAATTTTGTTTCTTTTTTACTTAATTAGTTTGTTTGAAAACAATTTTTTTGAATTATGGATATTTTTTAACGTTAATATTTTTTTATGATTATTGGCAAGTAGCGTTAGACGTGTGTTTATTTATTGTCTCGATGGTAACAACATGCTGTATAAGGTTTAGGATTATATAAAAATAATAATACAATAATAAAAAGAGTTTTGGGATATAAAGGTATACATATAAACTAAAGGGATATAAATATAAACTGGTCAATGTGTCATTGCGAACTAGCCAATTTAGGGACAGATTTTTGTATGTTAGAAATTCATAAAACTAATTAATATATGCCACTAGAACCCAGAACTTTAGCTCATAAGTCAGACATCTCAGCCTCCAAAAATGAAACACATTGATATAATTAAAATACTAATTGAAGTTGAACTATGTTGGGATAACTTACTTCACCTAACATTGTAGTTTTCATGAACAGCACTGCATGGACTAAATCATGAATCTCTCTATATCTTTGCATAACATAAGCCAACTCAGGGTCAGCAATAAATTGCACAGGTAATCTGGAATCAGCAGTTATGTTGTTGTCTTTCATGAAACTCGCATACACCCTTCCAAGTTTTGATTCAGGCATATTCGAAAGTGTTTTTAAACATACAGTTTGCGAATTTATGCGTGGTTTTTCCGACAAAACCTTGGAGCCCTCACTAGTTGCAAGCATTTTTTCACGCATACATTTCAAAGACTTTTCTCCTGTAATTTCTCCCAAGCATGCGATCATATCACCCCGGTGTGGATTTATAAGAGCAATAGCAGCAGAGCCTACTGAGAGTGCCGTTCTTTGGAATTGAGTTGTTGGTATAAAATTAGCCTGCATTTCTTCCATAAAGGTTGCAGCTTTTGCTTTAGAATGAAAAAAAACTCGAATCATAATTGACAATCGAACAGGATTTGTTAAAAGCATGCTTTTCATCATTAAAGTATTTTATTTAAATTGCAAGTAAATATCTTTAAAGTGAACAATCCAGCCTTTTTATGGTATTTTTGTCCCATATTTCAGTATATATGTCTTATAGCATATTACCTTAGGGCTTAATCCCTTCCTTTACTTTGACATTGTCAATGTCAATTTATCGTAAACGTAGTGGTTTTATTCTCTTTGAATTTATCAATGTTATGCTTAATATCGCCGATTTCGCGAAAAATATTGATATATAAAAATATTTTTTATTTTTCCAAATAAATATCGATACATATCGTCGATATTTTTATTCCCAATATATCGATATTCGATATTTATTTTCGACTATCGAATTCGTATCAATTTCGATATATTTTTTAACGCAACTTTGGTTTGGTGTTTGTTAATAGGCATGAGATATACCTGCAACATTCTATACCCGGCCTCAAAGGTACGGGTATCGCCGTATACCCGGTGCTAAAACCCAGTATCAAAATACCTATAGGTATTAGTTATGTTCAGGCCTCCTTTTGGAGACGCGGTCGAATCAAACGAATTGAACCTTTGGTTGGAATTGGAACATTTAAATGTTTTTTTTTTAACAATCAGATTTTTTTAATTGAGATTTAATTAGTCTAAAATAAGCTCCATCTTTACTAACGTAAAGAACCCTATTATCAAAAAAAAAGTAATTCAATTATTTTATTAATTAATTTAATAATCAGTTAATCAATTCAATAATCAATTAAATTAATTAAATTATTTATTTAACTTATGGTCATAGAAACAAAGAATAAATTTATCTCAAGGAATTATTTGGTATAAAATGTCTAAATCATACGTTTCAATTCGGGCATGATCGGGAAGAGCCGCCGTAAGCGTTCGGGGAACTTCGTACCTATTCGGCCGGCGGGTTGTCGCGAGCGTATATACCGCCACCGTCGGACGAGGCGGCCATAGCCATACCTATGGGTATGGAACGGGCCTCTGCCGTACATACGTCATACCCGGTGTGCGGGCGGGTTGTCGCGAGCGTATATACCGCCACCGTCGGACGAGGCGGCCATACCTATCGGGTATGGAACGGGCCTCTGCCGTACATACCCGGTGTGCGTACTGGTATGTTCATACTGGGTATTTATACCTGTTCCAGTATATACGCCTCATCCCTATTTGTTAAAGGGGCCCATTCACTATCCTGCCTGGCAGTCCGCCGTGCAGTACTGCAAAGCAGGATGTAGCCCACACACTATCCCGCAAGCCGTCCATCGTCTCTCAATAGTGTCAGTGTTGTTGTTGTTGTAATAATTATGGATTTACGTGTCGTTTCGAAAAAAAAAAAGAAAAAGGCGAGTTTTTCTTGTTGTTAGATAAAAGGTTTTATTAATAAATAACCTTTCCTCACATTATCATACTAATATACATAAAATTTAAGCAATAACATAAGCTTTTATCAAGTTAAACTATTTCAATATAAAATAGTTTTTGAGCTTAGTTTAAGGTTATCAAATCAGTCAGACGCCCCGGGATGCACACGTTTTCTTTTTGTCTATAATAAGGTACCTAGTCCTGTTCACATTTTTTTCAAACCTGTGAATAAAATTTAATTCTTAGTGGGCGGAGCTTGCAGGACCCTTGGAGGATGCAAGGCGCGTACTGCTCGGTGCTACCAGAAACTGTGCAGGCCTGCAACACCATTCACGATCCTGCATAGAGCGGCGGACTGCCAGGTAGTAGCGATGTGCGACTCGAATTATTTGACTCGAGTAACTCGAGTCAAACCTTAAACGAGTCAACTCGAGTTCAGTTTTAAGCAACTCGAATCAACTCGGTCGTCCGAACGCAAGCCCGACGCTAGACGCGGCGGCTTCACGAGTTGTTCCGAGTTACACACGCGGACGCGCGCGGGCTTCGATAGGCGTTGCGACTCGCATCAACTCGAGTTGAGTGAAATGTAAAGTTACGATAAACGCGCGCGCGCCGTTCGTAAGGTGTTGCAACTCGCATCAACTCGAGTTGAGTGAATTCAAAGTTATGTTACACGCGCGCGCGCCGTTCCTAAGGTGTTGCATCTTACTCACATCAACTCGAATAGAACTCGGGTTTTGAATTCAGAATTGCGCAAATGAAAAACCGCTTTAAAAGTTTATTTTGTTTTTTGATTGACATTTTGTTATTTGTTTTTATTAGTTGGCCGTTGGCGATCCGCGTGCGAACTGACATTTTTGATTTGTTAGTGATCTGTTTTGTTTTGTTTGTAACGACGTCAAATAACAGAAGTGTGGCGTCGGAATTCTTTGCTATAAAAACAGAAACTTTTTTTAACATTATTTTCGATAAGCAATCGACTATGTACATTTTATAAGTACAACTTTGAGGCGATAGATGGCGGTATTTTTTTGTCGTATTTTCTTAAACACGATGTTGAGATCTGCGCTGGAATAATATACACCTTTGTTGATTGATTTTCAAAATAAATTGCACACTAGTGCCAATTGATTGTAAATTTTGTCTTTGAAATCCCAACCGTCGGACACTGTTCGAGGTCGAGGTGTATAGAAAAAGGAGAGGATTAATTCAGACCACATACAAAGTTGCGAATTTACTCGAGTAGCCATATAACATCACGATTCAACATCATTATATACTTACTTGACTTGATACTTCCTATCTAATTAGCCTCGAGTCGAGCTGACTCGTACTCTCCGAATTGGCCGAGTCGTCGTCTTCCCCGCCCCCTCACCCCTTTGTCCCTACCGGAGACTTCGATGCGAGTCAACTCGAGTTGCGATTCGAGTCAGTAGCCAAATCAATTCAAGTAACTCGAGTCAAAAAAAATCTAACTCGTCACATCACTGCCAGGTAGGTCGTGCACGATAATACTTTTTTTAATAAAGATTATATGGCCTGGTAACAAGACCTTTAAGCCAATACCATAAAAATACTAATTAGTAATACTATTAAACCATCAGTGTGAGACGTGTATGACCCTTAAGTTAACAAACAATTAACAATTTTTGGATCGTTTTTTCAACAAATCAAAAAATTTAAAAAGAAAAAAATTGCTCATGTAGAAATTTAAAAACTAAGTACAATTTGTTATATATTTTCTTTTATAATTTATCATTGGAAAAAGTTTCAAATATTATTAGACGTCAGATAATTTCAGAATCATGAAAAGTTGATGAACTATTTAAATTCTTCAACTATTTGGCGTGATGCTTATGTCAGTTTACATGATTTTATTTAACGCAGCGACGTTCAATAAGTCTAAATCGTCTGATTGATTAATATTTTACAATTTTATGCAATTATAAATTTAAAAAGTTACCAAAACACCTTAAAAAATACACTTTAAAAAGAAGTGAAATTAAAAAGTCGCCCTTTTCTAATTTGCCAAGCTTCTTCGGCGTCTTCAGAAAGAGTTGCTTCATCTATGAATCTGACAGTACCCAACAATAGAAGCCGTTTGACAGAAAATTACTTTTTTCTTCATTTCTATTCTTTTTTACGAATTTTGAATAGTTTGAAAATATAAATAATAAATAATATTTAATAAAATATGTTTCCAAAAAATATGAAAATAAAAATATATCGATATATCGATTCATCGATATTTTTCACTCGATAACTATCGATAGTTTTTAAAATTGGCGATACCATAAACATCGATAAATTTTTTTTACTTGCCCATCCCTACCCTCGAGCGGGCTACAATCTAGAGATTGTGCGTATTTACGTTACCAGGTTATTGATACCAGGTATTTCCTTGCAAGTATACCTACCTGGTACCGACCCGAAATACTTACAAGATGAAAGTATTTTTCCATTAAAGTTTATGAAATGAACCCTTCAAAGTAAGTATTCCTACGTCGATCGAACTCAAACGTCGAATCGAACGAATCGAATGCAGTTGCAGTGTTACCAAGTACCAACTGTTCAAAAATAATACTCCTAAAGCAATTCGAAAACCCACTAAAATTTATAAAATTTAAACAAAAACTAAATTTAAAATCACGATTTTTTTATATTGTAGATAAAGGCAAAAATAAATTATCTGATAAAATAAACCATTAAATTCAAAATGGTCAAGAACAATAAATATAATCTAATTAATTTAAATTGAATATGTTAAGAATAAAATCGAAACAATATTAAAAAAAATATTAGAATAAATAATATATTCATACCAGACACATAGGCCTTGGCTTGACGTCGTCCAAAGCAGCACTGTAAAAATTTTATTTTATTTTTTTAAATAAGTAGTTTTGTGTAGTTTTATTCGAAAATGTGAATAAAATTTTACTACGAGCTATCATCCCCAAGCTAATGGGATGATAGAGCGTTTCCACCGCCACTTAAAGACCGCTTTAATGTGTCACAAGAGTTCCTGGTACCATGCCCGACCTTTCGTTCTTCTCGGAATCAGAGCGGCACTAAAAGATGACATCAAAACGTCAGCTGCAGAAGTTCTGTACGGAGAACCGCTACGCCTACCAGGCGAGTTCCTGGTGGCTAGCAATTCCCCTCAGACCGTGGACGATGATTTTGTAGCACTGTTGCAAAAACGGATGGCAGCACTTCGCCCCGTTCCAGCTTCACGTCACAAGAATCGTAAAAATTTCATCTTCAAAGACTTACCTGATGCTACTCACGTTTTCCTCAACGAAGATTCCGCCCGACGCCCTCTACAGCCACCTAATACAGGCCCTTATAGAGTGTTGAATAGATCTGATAAGACACTTACCTTAGATGTTTCTGGCCGAAGATCCGAGGTCAGCATCGACAGAACAAAACCTGCGTATATTGCACCTGACCCAGACGGTACTCCGTCCCCTAAAAACTTGGCACCGGAGCCCCCAGTCCTTCCGACTCTTTCACCTCCTATGAGTCAAACGGCCGTGCCCATAAAAACGCCCGCACAGCCTGCAACAACCCGGTCAGGTCGCAAAGTAAAATTTAAAGATATTTTAGATTTATAATGTAAGTACTAATTTTTATTACGTTATTTTTGTTAAAGCAGAGTTTTTTCAATTTTAAATGTCCAATGTTTATTTTTTCAATGTATAAATTAAAATTCCATTAGTTATAGAAAAATTATCCTAAAGAATGTTGCTTGTACTTATTTTTAAAAATAATTACAAGCAATGTTGCTTGTACTTATTTGTAAAAATAAGTACAAGCAATGTTGCTTGTACTTATTTGTAAAAATAAGTACAAGCAACATTCTTTGTTTTCAAATAATAACAGTGTATAATTATTTGATTGTAACATTTTATATTTGTTTTGCGTTCAATTTGTACTTAATTTTCTCCGTAGGGGGGGTGATGTAGCGATTCATTTGCTACTGTGTAGCACCACTCTTTATCTTGTACACCCTTACTCTCATAGGTCTAGCATTACCCTAATATTGACAAATTACTATAGCAACGAGTGACAATAAAAGATTATGGTTTTCTCAACACGGCTTGTTCTTTGTACTGCAACTTAATTATTCCCTCCTGCCGGCTCCCAAACTACTTATATCCTTTTTAATACCTCTTAGAATATGTGTAGTTTTATGATAATCGATTGAAAGCGTAACAAACAAACTTACATTCACGTTTGTGTTGTTTATATATATATATTGTCTAGACATTTTTAAGATTCATGTTGTAGATATTTCTTTATGAGCTTCTGAACGGAAGAAGGAAATTTAAATCATATTTTCTTGTGGTAAAGGTAAATAACTTTTAACTCCGGCGTAATTCAATTAAAATAAATTTTAAACGATAGAGATAAATCTGTAATGAATTAATCAACAAGCAGAATTCGGCGGTCGCTTATAGTTTTCGAAAAAATAAATAATGAAATAGTGTGATTTTTACTACAGAAATCCGCCATTTTTTTGTTTTCAATATGTCAATTCAGCTCGTATTTCTTGGTGGTTAGAAAAAAAGACCTAACATCGAAGGTTAAGGCGGGAGCTCCGCTCCCGCCTGAACCTTCTAACCTACAAACACTCAATACACAGTTCTGCCAACATCATAAATATAGGAAGCGGGCGACATCATATACGTATCTATATTCCGATTTTTTTTTATTTAATGAGTCACAGAACCGACACAGAGCGAATCCGACTCGGGTAGATTAGGTTAGAGCTCCGCTCCCACCTTAACCTTCGATGTTAGGTCTTTTTTTTATAACCACCAAGAAATACGAGCTGAATTGACATATTGACAACAAAAAAATGGCGGATTTCTGTAGTAAAAATCACACTATTTCATTATTTATTTTTTCGAAAACTATAAGCGACCGCCGAATTCTGTTTGTTGATAAATTCATAAGTGATTTTTCTCTATCGTTTAAAATTTATTTGATTTGAATTACGCCGGAGTTAAAGTTATTTACATTTACCTTTCTTGTTTCTTATATGACCACTCCTTCCTTTTTATTAATCTCCTTTTGCTCCCTATACTTTTACCTATAAATATACCATTCCTTTTATCACATAACTTGTGTTACTGAAATGTTACCTTCATTTATACAAAAAAATGCTATAAAACTAGTACATTTAAATTAATAGGTATATGTACAATATATATTAAAGAATATTTTATATTTATAACCAATATCACACTACGAACGTATCGTACATCTTCTCGATTATTTTCCTTTTTCCAAATTCCGCTTATTACTCTTGTTGAAATAAATTTATTTCAACAAAACTACTGTTTCCTTCCTTTTGCCCTTTCATTGACATAAAGGCAAAATGCCAAACAGAAAAAAATCTTTAATTGACAATTTGACAGTCGACTCCTGGTCCTGTGGTTGACTCTTAAATCTTAATAAAAGCGTTGGTTGGATTCACGTGTAGAGAAGAGAAGCCACAAAAGTTTCGTGTTTGTTCCTTTTATGAAAGAAAAACAAAAACCACAAGTTACACAAAACAAAATAAAATTATTAACGTATATTTATACGTGTAATTCTTACTTTCCATCCACAATGACGCTTCATAAAAAAGTAATAAAAAGCAAAAATTTAAAGAACGAGTTAGCAAAAGAATTACATTTTTTAAAAAATGTATTTTCGTCCCTATCAATACCTATTCATTCGAAAGGTAGGTAATGATATGAAATTTTTATATAATACGGACGCCTGTTTATTTTTTATTTCTTTACAGATAATGATACCAACGATGATTTTGAAATAACCAATGATGGGGACTTGGATATTAAAAAGGACTTTCCTAAACGTGCATCTAGTATAGTCGAATTAGAAGAAAAATTACAAAAACTTAAATCTCAGAATAACTTCCACTTGAAAAGTAAATTAGCAAAAAAGAGCATAAACAGCAAACTTAACAAAAAACTCAAGAAAAAGGAAAGGGCTAGTAAAACTCCTGCTAAGAGTTCTACCGATTATCAAACCAATAACAAACAGGCTAATATGGACAAAACAAATATTAGTACAGCAAAACCTATTTTTAATAATGAAGGCAAATTGGTCTTCTCTAAATTTGATTTTGCTAATTTTGGTAGAAAAGGTAAGATAACTTATATGTTAATTATATATTATAAGGAGTATTCAAAATTGAATATTCCCAGCTGTTTTGTTTAGCATCTTAACCTACATTTTTTAGATTATGATTGATAGCTGTGAACAACCAGTTCACCTGATTTTATGTGATAACTGCTGACTACAAAGAAGATGAAACTGGATGGAGTTTGATGCAAGCCATTAAGGATATCTCTGAGATATTGAAGATGAAGCATAGGTTTTTATTCATAATTTATGTTAAGATTACTGTCCTGTTTTGTACTAGTATTATTCCCAGTAATTTAATGTATGAGTGTTCTATTTCATAAAAACTGAAATGCTTCCTAAATGCTTAAACAATATCCTTTGTAATCATATTATTATGTTATTACAGAAAAAGGTGCCAAAATGCACAAAGATCCTAAGAAAATTTTAGATGAGATGAAACAACAGGAAAACAAATTCCGTCAACTACAAGACACTGATTGTGCAGATAAGGTACAAGAAATAAAAGCAAAAATGGCATGGAAAAATATTCTCCAAAAAGCAGAAGGACAGAAAGTTAAAGATGATCCAATATTACTAAAGAAATCTATAAAAAGAATGGTAGTATTATTATATTATATAATATGTTAAAATTATGTTCAAGAAACCTGATGATTTTAATTTAAATTTTATTTGTAGGAACAAAAGAAAAAAGTTAGTAAAAAACAGTGGGAAAATAGGGTGAAAAATGTTGAGCAAAAGAAGGAGGAAAGACAGAATAAGAGGAAAGAAAATATTTCTAAAAAGAAAAAAGAAAAGAAATCAAAAATTGTTAAAACAGCAATTAAGAGAGGACGAGTTGTAATTTAGATAATCTATTTTATATTAAATAAATGAAATGCACAAATACAAGTTTTTTCCTTTAGCTGAATATGTAATTAATCAATATTTTTATGGTACTTTGCTGAGTAGTTGCCATGACTGCTAATGTATATGTGTAGAATCATGACCCCAACATTCATAAAAGGGTACAAATGTGCTCAAAAATATTTAAAAAAGTCTGTATTCAGGTAAAATCTATTCATATAAGAAATAGAATAATAAATTCAAACAAAATTAAAGCCACATGGGACATCATTACCCGTATATCTGGAAGACCCAAGATATTCAGGGAACCTATAAAACTGGTTATAGGTAATACTCCCATAACATCAGATAATGAAATTGCAAGTAGTTTTGAAAGCTATTTTTCAGAAATTGCAGTTAATGTCACATGTACATTAAAATCATCTCCCATAGATGCAATTAATGTTCTAAGAAATAATGTTACCTTTTGTCCCCACACATTTAAATTTAATCACGTAGATACTTATGATATTATAAAAGTTTTGAATTCTATTAATCTTAAGAATACAGGGGATTTATGGGGCATGTCCATAAAATTAATGACCACAATAATGCCATTGCACCACATTTAGCTAATATTTTTAACAACTGCATAGAATCTGGAATATTTCCAGATCTTATGAAATTTAGTAAGATAATCCCCGTCTTCAAAAGTGGGGATAAAAATGATCCAGGAAACTACAGACCTATCTCCATATTGCCATCTCTGAGTAAAATTTTTGAAAAAAACTAATTTTAAATCAGCTCTTAGTACATTTTAATATGAACAAAATTTTTCACAATGAGCAATATGGATTCACTAAAGGCAGATCGACAACAGATGCGGGTATCGCACTTGTCAAACATATTTATAACGCCTGGGAAGGGTCGCAAGATGCAATAGATGTTTTTTGCGACCTTTCAAAAGCTTTCGACTGCGTGGATCACAAAACCCTCCGTCTAAAGCTTGATTATTATGGCATTCGTGACATCGCCCTCAATCTCATTGCTTCCTACCTTAATAATAGAATTCAAAAAGTATTTATAAATGATGTAAATTCCGCAGGGTCCCTCATGAAAATGGGTGTCCCACAAGGATCGATCTTGGGCCCATTATTATTCTTAGTATATATAAATGATCTCTCCTTTTATGCCAGTGAGTTATGTGATGTTGTACTGTTTGCTGACGACACATCGCTTATTTTTAAGGTTGACCGAAATGTATCGAATTATGACGACGTGAATAGTGCACTTTCGCGTATCCTCCACTGGTTTACCATTAATAATATGGTGTTAAATGCTAAAAAAAACTAAATGCCTTCTTTTTGCCCTTCCCAACGTAAGAAGGCAAAGTTTTAGCTTAAAATTGAATAGCGTAACCCTTAATCCTGTTGAGTCCGCTGTATTCTTGGGAATCACAGTAGATTCAAAGCTCCAATGGAGTCCCCATCTATCATATCTTGCGAATAGGTTAAGCTCCGCTGTTTTTACAATTAGGAAGGTTAGGCAGCTATCAGTCATCGACACTGTCAGACTTGTTTACTACAGTTATTTTCACAGCATCTTGTCGTACGGCATTTTGTTGTGCGGTAGTGCATCTGATATAAATTCAATATTTATTATTCAAAAAAGAGCTGTCCGAGCAATTTTATAACATCGGAGCCCGGAATACACTCAGAGATCTTTTTAAAGAGATTAATATACTCACTGTTGCGTCTCAATATATTTATTGTAATATTTTGTATGTTAAACAGAATATTAATAATTATCAAAAGAATAGTGACAGACATAAACTAAATACTAGAAATAAGGACAAACTAACTACGCCATTATTTCGCCTACAAAAAGTAAACAGATCGTTCATGGGGCAAAGTGTGCGCATGTATAGTAAAATCCCACAGTCGATGTTAAGTCTGCCACTTGATGAATTTAAACGAAAAATTAAAAGTACACTTATGGCTAAAGCCTATTATACTATTGCCGAATATCTTGACGACGCCAATGTGTGGGGTTAATACTGTTGATACTCACGTAGGCTATAACAAGACTATTGTACCTGTACTATTATATTGTAAACTGATTTTTAAAAAAGAGCAACTGTTGAGTTTCTTGCCGGTTTCTTCTCAACAGAAACTGCTTTCCGAACCGGTAGTAACATAGGAACGTGTTAATTTCTTGTAAAATTTTGACGTTTCATAAGAACGCGCAAGCGTCTATGTGAATAAAGATATTTTATTATTATGGGGGGATATTCATTTGTTTTCTCGTCTGGTTGGGTTTATAAATAAAAATAAAAATAAAGATATAAATATATATTGCATTTATAAAATAAATATTATGGATAAAAATAAACACATATATATATATATTATATAATACATATATAAATAGGACCCAACCAGACGGAAGCCCTCGGCAGGGGAGACCAAACGGCCGAGGGTTAGGGCGAAAGGGAGAGAAACCGGCGGACGATGCGGGCGGTATCGAGGAGCACCGCCTTCTTCTGCATTTGAGCCTGGAGCGATCCGTCCCGGAGTCCCAGTCGCCTCAGATGTTTAGAGAGGCTGACTGGGATCAACCCATTCGCAGACACGACTATCGGGATAATTTCGGTCGGCACACCACCCCACATCTGTCACCTCGTGAGCCAGGTCCAGATACTTCGTCTTCTTATCTGTTTCGGCTTTCACAAGGTTCTCGTCATATGGAATGGTAATGTCGACCAAAAATACCCGCGACTGTGCCCGGTCCATCAACAAGATATCAGGTTTGTTCGCGACAATCGTCCTGTCCGTAATGATGGACCGGTCCCAATAGAGCCTGGCGCGGTCATTTTCGAGCACGGCCTCCGGAGAGTACTTATAATACGGCAGTTTCCGTTCCACGAGGCCGTATTTCAGAGCGAGCTCCTGGTGTAGGATTCTGGCTACTAGGTTGCAGATATCTATGCAGATACTCAGAGTTAGAAAGCATGGAACAACCGGAGATAACATGCCGAAGCGACTCCCCGGGATGGCGACAAGCTCGACAGATGTCGACGGTGCCATCCTTTAGGATGTATCTCCGATAGTTGTTCGTCTTAATAACCTGATCCTGTATCGCACAGACAAAACCTTCGGTTTCCCCAAAGAGGTCACCGAAACGTAGCCAGTTAAGGGAGGCAACAGTATCTACGAAAGGCTCGTGTAGAGCCTTGTAGAACCTCCCGTGGAGCTCTTTCTCCTTCCATACGGCCTCTCGGTCGGAAACGCTCAGTACTCCCGGGTCCTGCCATTGCTCGTTGGCTAAGGATAGAGGGGTAAGTCCTTTATCACAACTAATGACGTCCGTGTAGATTGACTCATCCGATCTCGCCAGGAAGTAGTTATATTATAGTAATTATAGTATTATTATTATTATAGTTACAGTTATTATAGTATTATTATAGTATGTATTAGTATGTAAAGCGAATGTTCGGCTGAATATTTGTGTTCAGTTTATTCAGCTATTATAGAATCATATTATGTAGCATGTAAGTATGTAGTATTATAATTTTTATTAGTTTATTGTGATGAGTACAACCAGCGGCCTAAGGACTAAAACAAAAAACCTGGACAAGTGCGAGTCAGACTTGTGCATGTAGGGTTCTGTACCGTTTTCTATAAAAATGGAAAAAAATTGTCTTATGTAGGAGCCCCATTTAATAATTTTTTTATTCTGTTTTTTAGTATTTGTTGTTATAGCAGCACTTTTTTGTGTGGTGAATTTTCGCTTTCGGCCGTAAAACCATTCGCAGGATACTTTACGACCGATATTTCGAGTACAGGACGTAATACTTCTATGGTTTCGGTTAAAAACGGATTTCAGTTTCGGCTGCAATCTGGCTGAAACTAAAACTTCATTCAGGAGGTTTAGCGCTGCGATCGAATATGTTCGGTGCGCTGAACTGCGAGCGACGAAGTGTCATTTGCCGGACCGGAATTGCGTTCACAGTCGTGAGTAGTCTCATATAATTTTCTTTTTTTTTCGTTAGCTTCATCACCACTTCAGTCCAGCCTGTTTGAGTCCACTTCTGAACATAAGCCTCTCTCACAGACCACCACGACTCGCTTACTTGATGCGAAATTGAATCTAAAGTACTCTTACTGTCTTACTTTGGAGACCCACAGCCATCTTGTTTATATAGAATTGCCCATGATAAATCTATTTGTTAATTAGTAGAATCTTCTGATGTGCAAATGGTCGCTTATCACAAATTAAGCAAATTATTCAAAGCAACTTATCATAACCAATATCACAAACAATTACAGATAGTTATTTTTACTGGAATATTGCAGTGTTCACTATTGCACGAATGGGCAGGTCCAACCGGGGAAGTACCACGACTTCACAAGAAAGCGCTGTGAAGGATATATCACCGAGCTACCATGTTCGTCTATTACAGTGAATACGTGCAAAGTGAAAGTGGATCCGCTACTCCATCAACGGCCCTTCCCCTCAAACACGTATCAATCGGTGAGTGGGGAATTAAGGTCAATGGGTTATGTTCATTATTAAGAACCAGTGCCGTAAATAGGAAGGTACTAGCAAAGCCAGAGCCGAGAGTGCAGACCCTGAAAGGGCGCAGAAATAACAAAACCAAGACCATTTTTTACGTCTTACTGGTGTTGGATGATATCTTTATTTTAATGGACATTGTCTTCTTAATTTTCAGTGTTTCGTAAGATTAGAACATTTTTCAAGGATGCAGTTATAACAGCTCGCATCGGGAACATAACAGGATATTTACGCTATTAAGGATTAATAAGCAATCGAGATCCAGCTTAAATCGAATTATTATCCCAAAACAAATTTATGATTTTTGTAGCAAATACTAAACGAGGTCATTGACTTTAAATTAATATCATTTAAAAGTGGTGGATACAGAATTAAACGAAACCAGCCGGATTATTAGAATTATTATCCCAAAACAAATTTATGATTTTTGTAGCAAATACTAAACGAGGTCATTGACTTTAAATTAATATCATTTAAAAGTGGTGGATACAGAATTAAACGAAACCAGCCGGATTATTTCAGGTTTCCGAAAACGGACTCCGGTACAAATGTTAGCAGCCGCTAGCTGGGTGGTACGCAGAGCTGTAGCAAGCTCGTACGAAAAGACCAAGCTGCTGGACGACAACAGGCACCCGCTGTTTATTTACGATCCCATTTGACAAAGACTGAAAAGCCGCAGGAGTTTCATGAAGTGTGTGTCTCCTCTTCACGATAATGATCGCAGGAAGGAGAAAAGCACTGGACATGAGTTGCCACGGCTGACTTGGAACTCATTAGATAGACTGCAGACGGTGGTCAGCCGAAGATGAATGAGCCTGTTCACGTCAGGATTCTCAGAAGATTCCAGCTTGGAATACAAATGTGTGCTGTTCCTCAAACTATGAAACATTTGCCTTTGTGCCCTGGAGACCTGATGAATGCTGCTGGCAGTGTATTTCTTGTGGCTGAATTTTAGGCGGATACTGTCTGTATCGACACGAAAAGAAGATTCTAACGCCCTTTAAGTGAACCACCCCTAAAGCACAACTTTCCAATATAGTCTGTTATGATGGCTCGATTGATATATTATTTTTATAATACAGGGAATGCATTTGAGTTTCAAGTCGACGAAGCCCTACGCCTCCTGAGAGCGGGCCTGCGTCAGGTAAAGTGGTCGTTTGCTGTAAAGCAAACCCACTAGATGACGCCATACTTTGCTTAGAATTGTAACAAAATACGTTGCGATATTTGTCGGTGTGAAGCTTCGCCTAGAGCTGTGGCTAGAGCGTCGGCCCTGTTTTCCGGAGGATGCAAGTTCAAATCCTCACAGCGGCGAAAACTTTTCGTCCATTTTTTCTTAAATTTCAAAAATTTAATATTAGCTAAATTATGAGAGATTACTTTGTTCTACAAAAAAAATAATTTTAAAATAGTAACATGTCAACTGTTACAGTTACCCTTATTTTAATACTAATTAAGAAATGAAATTGAAAAACGCAGCTACAAAAGAAAATTTATTTATTTGTGATGGTATGTGTACATGCAACTTGTTTAACAATATTTTAGTATATTAGTTACTTTAATTGTAATAAATAAAACATGTTATTGGTAACAAAGGTAGTAACTTGCTTTTGCAAATACTCCCCCAGTACGCAACTATTAGATTGTATTTTTTGATGTTATTTATATTCATTTGGCTTGAACAGTTACATATGCGAGCGTCATACATACATAAATATTATTTTGTGTACAATATTGAAATTGTACTATTTTGCAGCCTATTGTGCTAATATAGATATACAATTCTATTTAAATAACTAAATTCATATGAACACATTTTTCCTTAAATCTAGGTGCATTAAAATCAGACACACCATACTAATTAAAAGATTGAATTTTTTTAAAATTATAATATCAATTTAAAAATATAAACCAATTAAAATTTCCTTAATTTTTTGTACTAGACCCTATCCTATAGAGGCATTTTATTTACACTACATGTGCATTATTTATTTAAAGTTGGTATGATAATGAACAAGAGTAGGTTAAGAAGTTTTTTAAATTTTATATATCCTTTTTAAGAAATAAAAATTACAATCTAAATTGAGTATATAGTTTTTCTTTCTTTATTAAAAAATTATAAATATGAAGTCAATTTAATGCTCATATTATTAATTTGGAAGAGAATTAGTTTGATAAATAGCTTTGGATAGTGTTTAAAAATGACTTTTAGCTGAAAAAATGATAAATCCAAATATCAAAATTAATGTAATTTAAACAATGTCATTTATAATATTTTGTTAATACCAAAATAATAAACAGATCAATTGTAAGTTCTTAATTCATTATCATAACAACATCGATATATCTAGCTTCATAATATAATCTTGTAAACAACATTTGAAAATATAAGAAAATAACTTTTATGTACTTTAGGCAGCAATTACCATAAGCAGTAACTAATACTTCATAAACAGCCGAGAACAAGTCCTTTCATATCAAATTTGGAGTTGTATATTCCAACATATTATAGGAGAACATTTTTCAAACATTGTAAAAACTTATAGGTTACATGGGCCACAAGCATTAAACAATAAAAAAGTTTGCATGTATTCATTTCTTAGTATGACTAAGGTAAAGTTAAAAGAAAAATAAAAATATTATAACAAATTCATTAGTTAATTCTTTTTATATTTTGCTTTATTAAATAAAATAAATGATTGGAAATATATCGTGTTATCCTAAGTTTTATTACAATAATAACACTGTTAAAGCAACATCATTCAAAACTTCCATGATTTGCAAGATTGAATTAAACTACCATTAAAAAATTGATACCATTGGTATAGAACATAACTTAAAAGAAGGTATGCATAAATATATAAATTATTATTTATTAAAGGTGGGTATTAGATGGCCAATGTTACTCTATAATTTGTTATCAAACATTTTTAAAATAGAAGAAAAATAATGTTACAATGAATAATTCATGTAACTCTCTTGTTAGGTATGTTGTACCAAATTTGTTTAAAATTATAAAGTGATAAGATTTCAATTATTACTTCAATGTACTTTCCTCTACAACATAATTTTTAACCATAATAAATAGTAATCAAATATAACATGATTAATCAAATTATTTGATTAGAAAGATTAATTCAGAAATAAGAAAATTCTTGTGTATGTGAATAATAATTTTGAAACATAAATAAAAAAAAAAAAAAGAACTGAAACTCCTGAAAACGAACACATGGTATGATAATCTATTTGAAAAAAATTAAGACAAAATAATAACAAATTAAACATCCTACTAATTGTATTGTGTTATTGTTGTAAACTTTGAACATATAATTATCGAAAACACAACTAAAATGCAATGCTATTGCTGAATAAGACTTATTGTCTTCATTTTAATTGACACTGATGAATGTAAAGATCTATAAAAATAACTTTGTCATATTTTAAGTTACATTACATTGGATATACATGTATTTGAAACATTTAATGTCAAAAGATTGGATGCCTTTATGTCAGTTTTAAAAAAAATGTGATTTTAATAGTAATTTACAGAAATGAATGTAAACTTTAAATATGTATGCTTTCAAATACAAAATATATCCAATATAAACTTAAATTTAAACGATTAATTTAATCCATGAGAATAAAAAAACAAATTAATAAAGAGTGATAAACAATTGTAAATAGCAACATATTACCAATGTAAAGCTTCAAAACAGAAGTCCTTTTAAAACAAATAAAAATAAGTAAAACTAGTAATAATTTCCATGTACATAGAATTTGAGATAATAGTTACAAAAGTCAAAAATGTTTTATGACATTGTGTATACATAGCCTCATGATTTTAATTAATATGCATGTTGTTACATGACATATTGGATAGATATATATATACATACATATTTAACACTAGAAATATGATAGTATAATATACTGAGGTCCTATTACATTCACTTTTAGAAGCTATATGGTCAGTCTAACAAAATTTTTAACATGATGTAAAATCAACTCTTAAATCTATGGGTTTTTATGACCGCTTGTATTCTGTGAAACGAATGTAATGGGATCTACTAGCAATCATACTCATTAAACACTTCAGTGTATAACACTAAGAATAAATATTTTGTGTACACACAACAAAAAAAATCCATAAATTCAACAGGCTTTGCCAGTGGTCATTGCACATTAAAAGTTTGCTTATATCTAATGTCATGAAACGAAGAGTCCCATATTATTGAAGATGTCTTTAGAAAATACCTAAATTCACAGTATACATAATAGTATGAAACTAGTACATTTGTCTTTGGAGTGTGGAGGACACTAGAGCAGTGGAAAATAGAATATGCTCTTACACACAAAAACTTCCACAGACCACTATCATGTAAAACTATATCTCCCTAAAAATATGTTTTAAAAACTTTTACAAAAATAGAAAAATAAAAAGGTCCAATGTAATACTGCACTCTATTCTAAATCAGTCAAGATATTTGTTAAGAATCTGAATTGTTTCAAGACTAATGTATTGAAACAAAAATTTACTGTGTATTTAGAGTTAACATATCAAATGCATAAAACTAAGCTGTATTAGTATCAGTAAAGATATTTTAATAGAAATGTTTCTGAATTAAGTATTAAACTAAAAGGTGGATAATAATTTGAACATATTCATTCACATTTCTGTGAACAGGTTAAATTACATACAAACTTATGTTTACTGTATCATCTTAATTACTATACCTTAATTTAAATGGTAATAATAAAGCAAGTTGTGAGGCGGGATATTTGCATCAGTCTTGTGAAATTCTCAATTATGAAAACTATTACGGTCATTGATTTTACTATTTGGTGGTCTGTAAAATGAAAAGTCAAATTTCTAATAAATTGAAAAATAGTTGCACCATATGTTATCAGTTCATCTCATTTTTTAATGATGAAAGTGTTGCATCGAGAACCCGTCCTGCAGCATACCCAGGTATATTAAGGTAGGCTGGTTTATCATGTTCACACAACCCCGGTTGTGTACAACAACGGCTCATAGATGTTGTGCCAGTACTTGATGAACCGCTTATGCCAGCTATATCTGATGATGACCCAGGACAAATCATTTTATGATTTGTAAATTGTTCTAATGATCTCAGTTGTTCACCACAGTTTTCACATTTTAATTCTCTTGCATGAACCTTTTTGTGACTGTTCAATGATCTAGAATTGTCAAATACTTTAGTACACATGTCACAATATTTTAAAATTTTTTCCCCAGTGCATACCACTTTGTGATTATTAAGCCTGTCTAATGACATATAGCGTTTGTTGTTACACAAATCACATTTAAATTGTTTCTGGGGTACCCTTCCTGTATGAACTTGCATATGTTTCCGCAAATTGCTTTTATCTTTAATGTATTTTGAACAAACAGAACATTTATTCACATCTTTACGTGTGTGATTTGCATCTAAATGTCTTCTTAATTGAGATTTCTTATGAAAAGGCTCCAGGCAAATTTGACATCTAAAGGGTTTTTGAGCCGGATGTACCCCTGTTAAATGTGTATTAAATTCCAGAATTGTAGGATAGCTCTTTCTACAATGTGGACAATGAAATAGTTTACGGCATGTAGCTGCACTGGAATCACAAAATGGATCGGAGCAATCATCACAAAAAGAATCTAATCCAGCTGGTGGTGTTGCTGTTTGATAAAGATCTAAATCACTTTGTAGAGGATCATGGTCTGGAGTGCCAGCACCACTGGGTTCTTGTTTAACTTTCGCTTGGTCACTGCTTTCTGAAAAATCGTCTTGCGATGGAACTCCTCGAGATGTACCTGCTAACATCCACCAGGGATTGTAGTGCCATGCTCCTAAGCCTGACTGAACCGATTGTCCTTTGATATCGCTAGGCTTTGTTTGAGTTTCAGCATTTGAAAAACCAGGAAAACTAGGTAATTCTTGATGTTTGGATCTCGACGACTCAAAAATACTATGTTGAGATATTAAATTTTCATAATCGCTTTGTTCTAACTTTTTTTCATTTCGATCATTTCCTTCTCGTTTAGACATATTTTAAGGTGCCTGAAATTTAACGACGTAATACATAGTAAAGGATTGAATTAAACATAGTAAATTATAAAAGAGCTGATAAAAATAAAAATAATATAAAATCCAAGTATATTGTTTACATAAATTGTTTGAAAGATTTTGTATCCCTCACTGATCAAATTTATAACATAAACAGGCAAGCTTGGTTAGGAAGTAAACAAACAATAAAAACTATTAAAGACAAATGAAAATTACATGAATAAATTACAGAACTTTAAAAGATGTTTTTAAAATTATTGTGATTTTAAAGTATTTTCTTATCTTACTTACATATGAATATGGGACTTTTCATACAAAAATTCAACAAATTTTAAAACTGTTCGGCCATTTTGTTTGGGTTCATTTTATAACGCACAGATCATTGTTCATATACAGATCGCGTTGAACTTCTTTCTAGTAGTAGATTAGTGTGCTGTATGTGTATAATATGGAATGGAGGCTTTGACAGTTTGTCGAAAGGGGTCGGAATAGTAAACAACTTATCTAGCTGGTTCATTACGAAATCTGATAACGCCGTGAACTCTGCTACATCCTGGCGAATCCTATCTATAACAAAAGATGGACGATTAGACTAACAAGGGGGAGAACGACAGTATCCAAGGGCCCCTAGGTCGAAGGTTCTATCTTCAGCTTGGACTGCAGTCGTGAAGCTGCCGTTCATTTCTTATTGACATTTAACTTCTAGTGATATTAATGAAATTCTGAAGGTTGACTTAAGGAATGCTTTTTAATCCTCCAACCGGATTCCCGCCTTGTTGCGGCTAAGGTGCTTAGTAGCTGTGGCATGGTCACCCACGGTGAAGCCAAAAGGAACCCACACTGGGCTGGCTCGCGGTGTAAGGCCGGCGCGAATGGGTCGGCCCAAGTGGGTTTACTGAGCCCAATTTGTATGCGAGCATGGAGGGTGTGGGGATTTGCTACATTTGCGTCCGTTAGATTAGTTATTAAGTTTCTGTTTAAGTAATTTACGATTTTTAGCTTTGCAGTAGGATCTTTAAAATGAATTAAATTCAAGTATTTAGTTTGTCAAATTGACGCAAATAAAAGCTAAGCTTCTATCTGAGAGAGTTATGCTGTAGATCACGGAAGGAACACAAGATGGGATATGATAAAACATGGTTCATAAGACAGCCCTCATATGAAGAACGATCAACGATGTATCATCGATGTTGAAACCCGAAGATATATCGATGTTTGAAAAAATCGATGTAATATTTTCATCTCTAGCTAATCTGTCTGTCATTCAAGGTTGCCAACTTAGGGGATTTCCCTCCAAAATTTAGGGGGTTAAATAAACACGTTGAGATTTTTTAAAGCTATTTTTAGGGCTATTTCTCCAAATTCTTTTATTTTTTTTCCTACTTTAAGTTTTGATTTTTTTTAAATAAGAAATGTCAAGGGCCTGGAGTAACGCAATCTACCTAGTTTATTTGTTGACCTAGCAGCTTAGCGACGTCTAATACGGTTTTTCATTACTAAAGAAATCAAGAATTATGTTTTATCATTTTTGTTTAAACACAAAAAAAAACTTTTTATAAGACAAACATTTTCACTGCAATATACTTTACTGTATTATTCCATTCATCTGGAAATTAATGCAAAAATATTTACGCTATTTATTATTCATAATTATTTATTTGTTATTATTATATAATATAATATATACATATAATATTATTTCATTTGGGGGGTTTTTGATTTAGCTTTAGGGACAAATATTTTGAGAGATGGTTTGGAGCTGCCATCATTCCCAAATCACACAACACTATAGAGTATAGATAGTAGAATGTAGATAATAGATTTAGATATTACCTACCTAGTACCTATTACCTTTTTCCAAAGATGAAGAGTAATAGGTACTCTATGGGAATGCGGAATGCCTTTTAGTTTTTCCCATAGAATTCTAAATATGGAGTGGTTAGGTTCTAGTCTATTGAAAAAATTGTGGAGACCTAGTGTTAATGTCGTAAGGTTATACAAGAACATTTTTCGTAGCATTTTTTGAATGAAATAAAGTGTTACACACCATTAATTTTCTTACAGAACAAGATACCACGCTGATAAAAGTAGACTTGTACGGAGATATGGTTACGAGGAAAAACTTTGGTGCGGAGGCCTCCTACCAAGAACGCTTGGAAAACGCTTGCCAATGCCAGAGTACAGGTTTGATATGAATGTTTAATTTTTGTGTTGCGACTGTGGAGGCTAATAATCAAAGAATAAGCAGTCTCTAAATCTTAATGTATATGCTACTAGTTATTTTAAGTACTAGTTGTTGCTAGTCCTTGGCTAAATGGACGAATAATGTAAATTAATCTATAATTATCATTTAATTTACATTTTTATTCTAACAGTATGTTTATACAAACATTTTTTGGGAAAAAAAGTTTATATAATGTACATGATGCAAAAAAGGCATAGTTAGAAACCCCCATGGAAAATATTTTTTTTAAATTATAAAAAAATCTGTTTCTTTGCAGTGTCTTTTTGAGTATTTGCCTCACACATTACACATAAAAAAAAATAAAAAAATCAACTGCAATGGATTCTATTTATAATATGCTAAGTATATAAGTTTTAAGTGTTGACTTATCATATGCACGGCAGTGTAGGAAAATATTGTGAGGAACCCTGCATATTTTTGAAATGATAACAAAAAAATTATTTTGAAGATATGTGAAGTCTGCCAATCTGCTGTAGGGTTGCATGTCGTAATACTATCTGTACATATGAGGTTTTTGCCCAGTTGAGGGACATAATAATAGGTTTTATTTTACTTTTCATATTTCTGTAGAATTAGAATTGAAATTTATTTGGTTGTAAATTTTAAAATTATTTCAATTATGCCTATAACTCTCAAGTTATAAAACTATATGTATATATCTCAATATATACATATAGTTTTTTATTTTAAAGCACTGGTAGGAAAAAGCACCCATAATACAGTTCCTATAATACAACTGAAGATTTAATATTAAATATGGGGTCTTTTTAATCTTTTTCAAGTTGCTTTGAACATGTTCTTATTTTTTAAATTAAGTATTGTAAAAATGTAAGTGAATTTTATTTTCCTTTACAGGCCAGCAAATGCATGGACTGAACGTAAATCATTATTTGGACAAAACGATTACATTGACATTTTAGGTCCTGGTCATCTTCATCCGGTTAAAACACTTTATTCTGTACCCGCTTGGATACGAGGAGTTAGTGGTCATGAATATCACGTAAGTATGACTTACGTTAAAATATTAAAGGGTCTTAGACATGTCAAATATGCTATACTGTTGTATAAAAAAAATCATATCTTTGGCACAGTAATTCTCTGTAGTAATCTGGTTTTGTGAAAAAAAAATGTTGACAATGTCTCTCTAGACATTACTTGTATAAAAATAAAGTCTGGAGTTATGAAAATATAACAGTTGTCAACATATTTTTTTGTTACAGATACTTCTTAGAAAGAAAAAGATGTTTGCTAAGACTGGTTCACCAAAAATAAGACCAACCAAATGGAAGGAATTAGAAAAGAGACTATCATTTTTGTATAGAAAACTTAATAGAAAAACCAAAACAGGTCCATCTCCTGATTAAAACTTTGTGTTACAATAATAGTTATAGGCAACTTATTATATTTGATCAATAATAAAGAAAACTTCATAAAATGTTACATATATCTTTTAAGTTTTTTAAACACTTCACACTTACAAATTAAAAAGATATATCAGAAGACAAACAATAATATGTAACGAAACAGGAAATAACCTAACTTAGCAGCTTTTATAACCTAAAGTTATTGTTTTACTAATGACTAGTATGTGAAAATGTTATACACTCAATAATTGACTGCCTTTCCAAACTAAAGTGCAAAATCTTCATAGAATTTGAATGGGCTTTGGTGAAATTGACATAAAAAGTTGTCCATATGTATCATATGACTACCAACCATCTAAAAATTGTTATACCAGCAAGATAGAAAGGGATTGGGAATGCAGCAGGTGAAGCATATATACTGGAATAGGTTTTGATACCAGGTTTCACTCGATACTTCTTAGGAATTTTTTTTGAATACATTATTGATTAAAAATTATCTGTACTAATTATTTGAGCTAAACTTTGTATGATTGATGGTGATACAATAGTTATAGACAATAATAACTAGGGTGAACAACAAGTATGCCATGTCAAAGATTTTCTCAGAAAACAAGAAAAGACAACAGTTATGATCGTGAAAATTAAAAAAAAAGTAATAAACTTAAATAGTATAAAAGAAATAAACAGAAAAATATGAAAATAACGTTTTAATGTTTTTTTAGTTTACTGAAGTTGCGTTATACTCGGTTCAAATTTGTGTTGTGTTTGCGTCTTTTTATAATATCCAGATTGGCATTTATGGACGCATAGCAAACACTCAAACAGTGCAATTGGCTTTATAAGGGTTGTTATCAGGTTTTAACCACCTTCCGAAATCGTGTATGGCACAAAATCATCACATTCCGCGTTTCATGAGCACATGGATTAAATGTTTATTTCCTTTTCAGTTTAAAAAAAATAATCAAAATTATAGTAAATCTACTGTAAATTAAAAAATTAAAAAACAGAAGCACCGGTTACAACGTCGTTAATTTCGTCCTAAAATTACCCACGGTACGCAGTGAATATGTTTCTGTTTACAGTTGATATAAATCAAAGCGCGCCAATTGTATTGTCAATTATTATATATAGTACATTTCGTACTACATTGTTTTTTCTATATTATATAAAACAATTAGCTCATTTATAGTATGATACTATATATTATAGAACGGGTGGCAACCCTAGTATGGAGACACTATGCCCGAAATCTGTGCACTTGCAGTTGCATTTTAAATTTGACAATGTCCTATATCTGTTGTAGGTTGTCTTGATGTTAGATAACAAAGTTCAATATTGTGAAAGATAGGCTAGCCAATCTTCCTTGATTAACTGGGCAGCTTTCTCCGCTATCATTACCACTGGTGCTAGAGTGTGTGAAGCTGGAATTCGCGGCATTATTGAGGCATCAGCAACGCGTAAACCTTGCACACCGTGTACTAGGAGACGTGGGGATACCACAGCAGTAGGATCCCCCGCTGGTGCCATTTTGCATGTACCAACCTGTAAGTTAGAATTCATCAATGAATATTTTAGAATATTTTTCTGGTTATAAATGAAACTAATTTTACGGATTTATCGCGTTTATTTTTAATTTAAGTTCCCGACGTTTCGAACCCTTTACAGCGTTCATGGTCACGGGACAGACTGAGGTGTTAGACGTCTGATTGTCAAAGTTATCCCGGGCTACCGTCAGTTTTTGTATTATTGATTTTGTGTCCGATCTATGCAGAGGGAGCTAATTGGTTCTTTTGGGCTTAGTATTAATTTTATTGATGATAGGATCCCAAGCTGATGGTAGTACCCAAGTAACCCTCTTCTCTATTGAAATTAGGGTGTCTTTTAATTTCAATAGCCTCGCGAATCATCCTTGGGAGGAATCGGTGTTCTTTTGCAAGGATCTGTGGTCTATCAAACCTGATGTAGTGGTTGGCCGATTTAGAGTGTGCTCACAAACTGCAGACTTGTTTAATCTACTATGTTTTATGTCAGCTATATGTTCTTTCACGCGGGTTTTTATAGCTCTTTTGGTTTGTCCTATGTAAGAGAGCCCACATTCACAGTCAAGTTTGTACACTCCTGGATCTTGCAGAGGGATATTACACTTGACAGATGGTAAAAACTGACTAATCTTCTTCAGCGGCTTGTAGAATGTATTAATTGAAGCCCGCTTTAAGATATAGCCAATCTTGTCGGTGACTCCTCTGACATATGGTAGAACAGCAGGTACTCGCTGCACTGTGGCTGGTTTCACTCGGTCACTGTGACGTAGGCGCGGTGCTCGAAGTTTGTTGTCATGCAGAACTTGCTTGACATGTTGAAGCTCAGCGGCCAGGTGTTGTTTGTCACAGATCCCTTGTGCTCTCTGAAACAAAGATTTACCCACGGTAGCTAACTGGGATGGATGGTGGTGAGAGTCACCGTTTAGGTATCTATTTGTATGGGTTGCCTTCCTATACACAGTGTGACTTATAGTGTTATTTGGATTGCGGATGACCAAAACATCTAAGAAAGCTAAAGAGTTATTATTCTCTAATTCCATAATGAATTGTATTTTGGAATTTACTGAGTTAAGGTGATTTAAAAATGCATTAACTTTACTTGTTGGTAAAATGGTGAAGGTGTCATCTACATACCTCTTATAAAACCTTGGATAAATGGGAGCTGTGCGAAGGGCCTTCTCCTCAAAGTCTTCCATAAATATGTCAGCGACAATGGGAGATACTGGGCAGCCCATTGCTACACCATCTATCTGTATGTAAAATTCCTCCTTCCAAAGCAAATAGCCGGATGTTAGGCAATGTTTAAGTAGTAATGCATACTCTTCCGGCATGTTATTCTCTTTTAGCTTCCTTGTTACAATTGAGATGCAGTCTTCTAATGGTAGGCATGTAAATAAAGACTGTACATCAAAACTGACCATTGTTTCATTGTCTGCAAGACATAGTTGTTTTAGGCAACCCATACAATTTAGGGGGTTTTGCACATGAAGGTGTCAGCGATTTCACGTCTAGATTTAATTTTTCGGAGTATTTTTTAATGAGATCGCTAGTTAATTTAAGCGTTTTAGTGGTTGGGTCTGTTTTGACCTTTTTATACGTGCTTACATCCGACAACAGTTCTTGTATTTTCAAATTATAATCCGACGTTTTCAGATAAAGGAAATGCTACGGTTGTTATGAAATTAAATCTAGACGTGAAATCGATGACACCTTCATGTGCAAAACCCCCTAAATTGTATGGGTTGCCTAAAATACACAAACCAGACTTGCCATTACGCCCTATTGTAAGCCAGATCGACTCACCAACTTACAGACTGGCTCAACATCTAGTACAAATTCTCTCACCGCTGAGAGGACACACACGGGCATACACAAAGGATTCGTACCATTTTGTTAGTGAGATAAAACAACTATGTCTTGCTGACAATGAAACAATGGTCAGTTTTGATGTACAGTCTTTATTTACATGCCTACCATTAGAAGACTGCATCTCAATTGTAACAAGGAAGCTAAAAGAGAATAACATGCCGGAAGAGTATGCATTACTACTTAAACATTGCCTAACATCCGGCTATTTGCTTTGGAAGGAGGAATTTTACATACAGATAGATGGTGTAGCAATGGGCTGCCCAGTATCTCCCATTGTCGCTGACATATTTATGGAAGACTTTGAGGAGAAGGCCCTTCGCACAGCTCCCATTTATCCAAGGTTTTATAAGAGGTATGTAGATGACACCTTCACCATTTTACCAACAAGTAAAGTTAATGCATTTTTAAATCACCTTAACTCAGTAAATTCTAAAATACAATTCACTATGGAATTAGAGAATAATAACTCTTTAGCTTTCTTAGATGTTTTGGTCATCCGCAATCCAAATAACACTATAAGTCACACTGTGTATAGGAATGCAACCCATACAAATAGATACCTAAACGGTGACTCTCACCACAATCCATCCCAGTTAGCTACCGTGGGTAAATCTTTGTTTCAGAGAGCACAAGGGATCTGTGACAAACAACACCTGGCCGCTGAGCTTCAACATGTCAAGCAAGTTCTGCATGACAACAAACTTCGAGCACCGCGCCTACGTCACAGTGACCGAGTGAAACCAGCCACAGTGGAGCGAGTACCTGCTGTTCTACCATATGTCAGAGGAGTCACCGACAAGATTGGCTATATCTTAAAGCGGGCTTCAATTAATACATTCTACAAGCCGCTGAAGAAGATTAGTCAGTTTTTACCATCTGTCAAGTGTAATATCCCTCTGCAAGATCCAGGAGTGTACAAACTTGACTGTGAATGTGGGCTCTCTTACATAGGACAAACCAAAAGAGCTATAAAAACCCGCGTGAAAGAACATATAGCTGACATAAAACATAGTAGATTAAACAAGTCTGCAGTTTGTGAGCACACTCTAAATCGGCCCAACCACTACATCAGGTTTGATAGACCACAGATCCTTGCAAAAGAACACCGATTCCTCCCAAGGATGATTCGCGAGGCTATTGAAATTAAAAGACACCCTAATTTCAATAGAGAAGAGGGTTGGGTACTACCATCAGCTTGGGATCCTATCATCAATAAAATTAAATCTAAGCCCAAAAGAACCACTACTGCAAGACAAGATACAATTAGCTCCCTCTGCATAGATCGGACACAAAATCAATAATACAAAAACTGACGGTAGCCCGGGATAACTTTGACAATCAGACGTCTAACACCTCAGTCTGTCCCGTGACCATGAACGCTGTGAAGGGTTCGAAACGTCGGGAACTTAAATTAAAAATAAACGTGATAAATCAGTAAAATTAGTTTCATTTATAATGTGTAATCGCGTAAATACAAGAAATTATTATATTTTTCTGGTTATTTCTTGTCGAAACAAAATATTAATATTTTTTTTGAATTAAGGAATGCTCAATTAACATTATGTCAAAGTCTGTACTTCGTCTAAATAATCACCTTGTATATGCGATATATTCAATTCCACTTGAAAGTGCCTGGAGCGATCAATTAATTTTCAGAGTGCGTTATCATTTAAATTATCACTAATTGTGGGAAAATTGCCGGAATTTAAGAAATAAAAGATTAACGTGGTGAAGGCGTATAATGTGAAAGCGTAATGAAACTAACTAACATAGGTCGGTAGACAGAAAAACATAACATCTATTTACTTTACATAAAATTACAATTATTGTAATGCACGTAAGTTTGCTATTAAACTGTGACAGGCGTTAACACTAATACTATAATACAACAAGCGACGTTAATACTTGTTTTTTGAATTTAGCAACTGACTCATTTTGAACGTTTTATGGGATTTTCTTGGAAGAAGGTATACATTTTCCCATAAAACCTTTTTATTCTACGCAATCTAGTAGTAAATGGTAGAATTAATTTATGTTGTTCGATGTCCGTAAATCATTTAAATACAGTCATGTAAATACTGAGTACATTACTAAATCTCGAAAATTCATTATTATTTTTGTGGACACGTGACTTTTGCAAGTATGTACTGAGAAGCAACAGTTTTGGGGGCCCAGGTTAAAAACTGCGAATAGCTCTTTTGCAGGATGAAGATGTTTATGTGGGCCACGTTTCCCCAAAGTAGAATTCCATAAGAAATTATACTGTGGACATAACTAAAATATACCAAACGAGCCGTATCCGTTATGTATTTAAGAGTATGAAAAAAGAAAAATACATTATAAAGAAACACTGTATTTAGAAATGCAGTAGGTATTAAATAATGTATTTATTCAATATTCCCACGATTATTAAATATTCCAACAACCCAATAATTAAAGTAAATAAAAAACTGTGGTACGAGAAAAAAAAATATTTTTTAGCGCCAAAAAAATCGCCATATTTATTTTTTCAATTTTGATATATAAGGTATAACTACTACTTGCTTTACTACTACTTGCTTACCTAGGTATTCAGTGGCATTTGCGCGATGATGACATTCCTTTATCAAAATCGGTTCAGCTAGTAGTAACGATGGAACACGAAGACGGGGATACATATACATACAGATCAAACACATAATCCTCATTTTTGGCTAAATCGCAATTGAGTAATTATAGGTTTTTTTAAAAGTATGAGTATCATACATATCATATTTTTAAAAGTATGAGTATGTAAAATGAGTGCTGTTCGAAGCGGGGTGGAACACCGCATACTTTAATCCCAAACGAAGCCGAGTTCCTGTTACGGGTTTAGATTATACAGCGTGTCGTTACAATCGCGACAATAAATGAACACACGTCTAAAGCTATTTGCCAATAATCATAAAAAATATAAACGTTAAAAAAATCCATAATTTAAAAAAAATATTTTTCAAACAAACTAATTAAATAAAAAAGAAACAAAATTTGTAACACCCATACAACTACAACTGACTGATACATTCAGAGACTTTTTCATTCGTTGCCACAGCGTCGCATTACAAATCTCTCTTTCTAACAGTGTTGTAACATGTTTTATCTTTTAAATTCATTTAACACATTCATATGCTTTGTGACCTTTACAACTGAACTTTACGTTACGCTTTTATACGTAAGGGTGTTCTAAAATAGTTTGTTTTGGAAAATTTTATAACTCGGTAAATATTGATGTTTAAAGAATGTAAATGTTTACTCATTTTAAAAAAAAGCTTTAGATGTGTGTTCATATATTGTCGCGGTTGTAACGACACGCTGTATATACGTCTAGTTTCCTAGCCCGGCACTTCAACGGGTAAAAATGTCTGATCCAGGAATATGCAATTCAACTTTGCGCCCACTATACGTGCCCGCACATGTACTTTCACAACGTCAGATGTGTTGCAAGCGTTGTCAACCGCTGCGAATTCGCATTCGCAGTGGTCGACAATGCACCGAGCGAATGACTGCGGCAGGGCCACGTAACAGCTTCTGCTGTTGGACGAATGGGTAAGTTGGACTGGGGACCACAGTCTTACAGAAGACTGGCGTGAAGTGGAAGTATTAAAAGAAAACACTTTTGATTCATGCCGGTCTACTGACAGACCGTAATGCTTCTATAGTTGGTCTATTTTTTTATGTGAGAAGTTGCCAAGGAGCAGGCGGTTCACCTTATGTTAAGTGAATACCGCCGCCCATGGACATCTGCTAAACCCGAGGGTCCCAGAAGCTGTCAACGCATCTTTTGAAAATTGGCTTCCGGCTACCTTACTTACCAGACGAAACGTGAAAGTATTGTACTTCCACTTCACGCCGGTCTTCTGTAAGGTCGTGGTACTTACCCGGCCGAGCTTGCCCATTCGTATAACAGTTGAGGCTGCTGCGGGGCCCTAAGAGAAATAAATGGAGAACTATTTGTGGAGGGAGCTATTACGTAAGCCGTTGTTGTTTTATCCCAGTATAACTCGGCAATATAGATAAGCAATAATCTACGAGATTTGCAGATTAACTTACGCAGAGTTTACATTGTGTTAAATGAAAAAAGGAATAAATTAATCTCGTAAGATTGCAGCACATACTACAAATCGTAAATTAAAAAAAAAAATTAACTGAAAAATCAATCTCTAGACACTTATCGCTTTTGCCCAACGATCAACGATGATTCACGACGATTCATTCGGATGCGACGCAGGCGAATTTGTTTACAGTTTCAATCAGTTATAAGTAAATTAGTATTTTAATAAAAGAACATAGATATTTCTATTGAGTTTAATATAATTTTATCACCTACTTGATGATCCAGGGTAATCGAAGTCTGCATAATAGCGCACTCCCAGTATTCATCCGAATCAAATATGAATTCTTCACATCCGGGAAACGGGACGTTGTGAAGTCTTGTATTGAAACGTCGAAACGCCTGAGTACCGATGACTTTTTCGACCTGTTTTATTGTATTGTTATAGGTTATAGCTAATATACTGTATAATTTGTTTTTCTATTATTATTGATATTCCTTTAGTTCTTTAAAGAAGTAAAATTTAATTTTTATTAAAATAAACAAATACTGACTGAAAGCAGATTCATTATTGTTGAAATCATAACAAGGTATAAAATTAAAAATCCTCACCGATCGTAGAATAAAAAACCTTTAGCAATAATTTAAAAGGTTTTTCAAAGGATATTAAACAATTATGTTATGAAGTAAATATTTTTGGGTTAGTACATACTTACGTACTACAATACTACAGTTATCTAGGTGATATAATAAAGTACTTACCAATCGAACGCCTTCTCTTAAAGCACGAATGTCGTCGGTATGACTGAAATAGTTTGGATGTATCCTTGGATGGTCGGAGAAGTTTGAGCTTCGTAACGTCAAGCGCCCAATACTACGGGGACGGATCAACACTGGATTCATCGAAAAAGTACGCTGTCTGACTTCTGGCGGCATCGTCCCATATACTTTCCAGTACCATTGGTCTGTTATTCCTGAATAGAAAGCAAAAGATCATATGTGCGTGTGTGTTGTATTTTTAGTCTATTTTTCAGATATATCACATCGTTGCTCGCTTTATATCGACGAGCATATTCACTCAAGAAGAAATGGCTTATTTCTGCTTAAGAGCTAAGTTTAACGAAACTCATTCTCAAAAGTTACTTAATTTAATTACAACATCTGTCATTACATGCATTTAAGTAATATAATGAATTATTCAATTATGGAAGATTATACCTAAAAGAGCACGTAGGATGCCCAAGTGGTCACCAGCAAGTGACCCAGCACCCATCACCAGTTCTATATCAGGACGGCCTTCGGAAAGGTCGGAAGCGAATGATGTGCGAGAGAACGCTAGACCTGTAGCGCCACCGGGTATAGTTAAAGGCCCCTTACCGGCTAAATATTCTGCAGCAGATAGTGGTGACGCGGCTGTTAACTAAAACATTAATAATTTCCATGTTTGTTATTAATTAGATTTGATGTTTTTTAGATTTTTTCTGTTATTGTGTACTGTTGCCAGGGCCACGCACAGCTGCTAAAGTTTCGTAAATGTGCAGGCCAGTAACAGCACAAAAGATCGGCGTACAGTGGAAGTATTATACTTTTGCGTTGCTTTTGGTGGGTGGTTCCCGCGGTCCACTCCTGTAGTTGGCGGCGCATGTAAAACCGCGCAGGAAATGTAAGCGCTCATGTGCCGTGGTGACAATTTAACCTCAGATGAACTGCCTGCTCGCTTGTAACCGTCTCACAGAAAAGAAAAAAAGGTAAATAATTAAAAGAACAGAAAAGTAAAGTAAAACAGCATATTTGAGAGATTTTAAATCACAATACTCCAGCAACCTTACTTTAAATCCACTATACTAGCAAGTATAACATTAAAATATAATTAAATCGTAGAGCAATAATATTTTTAACTAAAATTATTTTAGGTAATGAATTGTTACGCGCTCTGCGGGTAAGGAAAACAATGTTAAAACGAGTAGATGTAATGATGATGTAAAGGATATTTCGAATGTAGATGTTCTCCGTTAAATCACTTTGGGGTGGCGATTTGGAAGAAGGCACAAGAGTAAACGGTTTATACTTTTTCACTGAATTCTAAACTGCGACCCGGGGTAATCGATGTAAACTACTCTCTATTACTTATTATTCTACCACAAACTTGTATAATTTTCGTGAGGACTCCGTTGATTTGTGTCTAATTAGGTGTATATCGAACCATTAAACTGAATTCTCTCAGGATTAGGGTTGAAATTTTTAATTAAATAATCCAAAAAACGTGTGAGCTAATCGGCATGATAATTGATTTTACTAAAATCCGCAGCTTTAGAATAGCGTGTTTAATTACTTTGCTGCATTCTAAATTCTAGCAATGAATATACGGTGGCAATGCCGGGGCGTGTCGCTAATTATAAAATAAATTTAAGCTTACATCATTAACGCAGAGGTTGGTATCGTTAACTATAAACGCATTCCCTGAGAAGGTGATGTGATCTTGAAGATTATATCCAACAGGAACGTTTGCTATTGTTGCGATGCCCATTTCTGTGAGGTGATCTTCTGGTCCTATTCCTGATAACATCAATAATTGCGCCGAGCCGATAGTACCAGCCGCCAGTATGATTTCACGTCGAGCCATAACTCTCCGCCTGTGAATTGAAGTCAACAATACTGTGGTATTGCTACATGATGTCAAGTGCGTAGGATAATTTATAATACATGTTATGTATCCGCGCAAATATTATGCAACTTATTTCACATATCTTGCGTTAATTATGGAAAATATTCAAAAGATTTTTTTCAAATAATCTTTAATAATTCAATGCATACCTATATTCAAAAGAGTAAATCAATACAAAATATTCAAAACTCTTATGAGTGATCATGTTATTATGTCTTTAAAGATGGTACGTAACTTGGTAACTTCGAGGTAATGAAGCGTTAAGTAAATGTGTAAACATTTAATTGGTCATAATCTTATTCAATTGGATTATAGGAACTGTTCTAGCTGTTACTTTTCCGAAAAACTAGAAAATAAAATAAGTAAATACTACAGTATGTAAATATGTAATATAAATATCTTGGACATACTTTTACACAACGTTCTTTAGTCCCAAACTAAGCAACGCTTGTATTATGGGTACTACATAACTGATAAACATACTTAAATATACTTTTCCTTTGTAAATAAATACATTTTATACACGTATAAACAAGCAGACACTGGAAAAACACAATATTTTTCCAGTTGTAGGGATCGAACCCATACCCTCTGACGCAAGGGGGGGCACTACCGACTGCGCTAATCGGGCCGTCGACAAAAAATAAAATAAAATTTTCATTACCTCCTCTTCCCTTTGATAAATTCTATTCCATACGCTTTCATAGTATTATTATCAATCAAAAGCTTTGTCACGGTTGAGTACTTCGATATTTTCAAATTTTTCCTGAAACGTATGGGTTCCAGGAACGCTTTTGATGTGCTACATCGTCTGCCATTTCTTATGGTTGCCTGAGGCTTCGAAAACCCTATGATTTTCTCACCATTAGGATCGTTCCATTCAAAGCCCAGCTCTTCACCGGCTTCTTTGAAAGCAGTCTGGATTGGTGACGAAAACGATGCATAGTCTATGTCTAAATAACCACCTGTACCGTGGTACGTTGAATTTTTCAATTCATTAATTCTAATGTTTTCCGATTTTTTAAAAAACGGAAGGACTTCCGAATAGCTCCAACCTTCATTGCCCATTCGAGCCCAATCGTTATAATCTTCGGGGTGCCCTCTTTGATAGATCAAAAAATTTAAAACACTGCTACCGCCAAGAACTTTGCCCCGTGGCATAAAACAGACTTTTCCTCTGAGATCTTTACATGCTTTTTGTTCTGGCTCCGAATTGTATCCCCAGTTCATGGGTGTAAGCGAAAGAAAAGGTGCAAATATTGGAATATCAGATAAAAAATTTTCATTTCCACCGGCCTCTATAATTAAAACCTTCCAGTGGTGTACCTCAGTCAGTCTATTAGCAATGACACATCCGGCAGAGCCCGCACCAACAATTATAAAGTCGAACTCCTCAAAATCTTCAGGATTGTAATCAGGCACAAACCCTTCTTTGGGATTTCGCGGTAAGGGCCGAAATAAGTCCGTCCAAAGATCAAAAAGTTTCGTTAGTTCGAATGCGTGTGATAAACACATATTAATTAAAAAAACGGAGAATAACCATTGCATGATGCTGAACTTGCTTTCGCTGTAATAAAATAAAACCATTAGTAAATAAAATAACTGCGTAATTATACCCTCCACTGGGCAAATGCTACCCGATTGGGCCACGCAGCAGCCTCGGCTGTTGCACGAATGGGCACGCCCGTCCGGGTAAGTACCACGACCTCACAGAAGCGTAAAGTGGAAGTATAACAAATACTTTCGCGTTTCGTCTGGCGAGTGAGGTAGCCGGAGCCCAATTTTCAAAAGGTCAACGCATCTGTAACCCTTGTATGTTGCTACATATGTCCATGGGCGGCGGTATTCACCATCAGCTGAACCTTTGGCAACTTCTCACATAAAAAAAATCTTTTAAATAATTTTTTATTATTTCGAAAATATGCAGGTTTCCTCACGATGTTTTCCTTCACCACTGAGCACGTGATACGTCAGCACTTAAAATTAACAATTCCATTGGTGCCGACATCGGGGATCGAACTCAGGTTGCTCGAGTATATTGAATTAAAAGCGAGCGCGTGGACAATGAGCTATTACGTCTCTAAAAACCATTATAATGATTTAATTTACATTATTGAACTCAAGTAACTGGGGAAGTACCACGGCCTCATAGAAGACCCGCGTGATGTGGATGTATTTATTATAAGCATTTAACATCACGTAACGGTTCACGTCCGCTCGCATGTCAATTTTTCACAAAAAAAAACACTTATTAATAAAACCACTGCTTACCACCGCTTATGGACGTCTACAATATCTGATAAGTTGTGGATGCGTTGCAATCTTTAAAGAGTGGGCTCTAGTCCTTTGATTGACAAGTAAATAAAATCAATATAATTTTTCACAAAAACCATTTATCGGTATCAAGAAACATATTTATAAGAGGTATTTAAAATTCTTACTTATTATTATTCAGGTTTGAGGTGGCTGTTGTATATTACAAATAAATATTGAAAAAATGTAGACAATGTATTGAATTATAAAGGTGCATAAATTGTAATTAAGACACTGGAAACAACCACGTATTAAAACCATTGAGTATAATAGAAGTTTTGTGTCGAAGCAGTAGGCATCACTAAACTATTTAGCACAACCGAGCCATTACTTTTGGTTTTATTTATAACATATATAAAGCCATTTCAAGGACGTTGCTTGTCACAATGGTACTTTAGCATTTTGTGTTGTTCGCATACAAATGACCATTTATTCATCGGTCTCATAGGAGGCCTATTTAGTCAAACAAATCACATTGTATCGATTGAATCTAAGTCTGATGCAAGGATGTGCGTGATGATTCTCTCTGTAGCAACTATGCTAAATACGCTGTTAGTGGCAAAACGTCATTGTGTGACTAAATTTCATGTTTGAATTGTTTGTTACCTTTACCTTTATAAATTATGACACATGTTTACCATTCTTCATAGAATAAGTATAGATTCTATTTACGTTTTCTGTCTACCGATTTTAAAGCCCGTGAAACGAGTACGCTTTCGCAAGTCAGATTCATTGCAACCATGATTGCATTCTATAGAAATAACGTCTCTTGCACAATTATTTCGAATTATTGTGTTTACTTATGTATTTAGGTTTGCTAATAATTATCTCGGTAAAAATTTCCTTAAGTTTCCGGGTGTTTTCGACTAAACAAAAAGTTTATTCGGTTAAGAAAAATCACTATGAAATAATCAACAATCAGAATTTGGCGGTCGCTTATAGGTTTCGAGAAAAAAATATATATTTAAAACTTGTTATTTTCACTAAATTAATCCGCCATTTTGTGTTTGACAACATGTATAAATTTACGAATTCACACACTTTTCCAAATTATAACCTTATTAATTACATATTAACATTATTAAAACAATATACAACAAATTATAACATTATTAAAAAAGTCTTTAAAAATACTAAAAGTACTGTTACACTAAAGTTTTCTGGGTGGTCATAAAAAAAAACCTAACATCGAAGGCTAAGGCGGGAGCTTCGCTCCCGCCTTAGCCTTCTAACCTAACCTATCCGAGTCGGATCGCTCTGTGTCGGATCTGTCACTCTTAAAATTAAAAGAAAATTAATCTTCGCCCACTTCCTATATTTTTCATGTTGGCGGTACTGTGTATTCAGTTTTTGAAGTCAAATTGGTAAAAATGGTGAACTTTCTTAGTGAAAATTACGTTTTAAATAATTTATTTTCTCGAAAACTATAAGCGACCGCCAAATTCTGCTTGGTGAGTATTTTATTAATGATTTTTCTGTACCTAATTATATTTTTTTTACGTCGAAAAACACCCGGAAACTTAAAGAAACTAATACCTTATTATCGTTTGTAATATGCAAAAAATACGTACTATTTCAAAATGAGGATATCTAGATAGGTACGATATGTGAGTCGCAAATCATGGGAGCGACCATCACCTAGTAACTGAAGGCCTCTTAAAATCATTATCATGACGTCCAAAACATAGTGAAACACATCGGTGTGCCAATTTGTCATGATCAAAGTTTACGTTATTGCATCTTTTTAGAAAAGTTTCGCAATATATCTAAGTTTCGAAATTTTACATGGTGTTTTCTCATCAAATAGAGTTAGATTGCAAATTTTTTTTTCATTTATCTACAAAAGTTTCATCTAGTGTGCAGACTAAAAATAATAAATATTATTAAAAAATTGAGTCAAATTATTAACTGTGAAAATTTGTAAATTATGGTATGAATAATAACTTCAGCGTATATCTTTGTAAATATTGTAGTATTTTTATGGTATACCGTTTCAAATTATTCTGTTTTAGTTAAAAAAGTTTTATTGTTATCAAAAGTATACGCGTGAATTTACTTATTTTATTTATATAATTATTATTTATAAATATAGTATATCTTAACAAGGGTGAGAGAGCAAAGCTTTTATTATCGATACATAGATACTAGATAATTGGTAAATTTTTATACTTCTTTTGTAAATAAATACGTTTTATTGATATATAAACACCCAAACGAACACAACATTACTTCATTCATAATTGGATTTTTAGAAGGTACCTATGTAAATATATAATAAGTCTATATAGATATATATCTACATTAATCTACTATCTAATACTTAAGGTCTCAGTGATGTTTTAATAAAGATGACGCATGTCCATACTGCGCGACGTTTAAAAATTGTTCCGATTTACATTATGTGACATATATAATTGAATGTGACAGATGATATAGATGACGTATGACACGGAAAGAGATAGCAGTCCGTCAAATTGGAATCTAATTACACCTGTTGGTGTAATTTGAGTGCCTCAGTTTCGGTGCCCTAGTGTCGTATCTACCTAGTATTTATATACTATTTCTAAAAATAGGAAACTCATTTGACATTTTCGCATACCACTGGGACGTGATTCAGCGACCATCAGTAGTGTAACGACCTAACTGCTTTACTCACTGCGTTGCATTTAAACAAATACAAGAAAAGACTTTTACTTATTTTTGTTCTATTATTGTCCAATGACCTTGCTCGCGGGCAACTTAATCACACCACATGCATAAGGTAACTAGTAACGTAAGGCAGTCAGGCAGTCGTTGACCGTCGCAGTTAAGATTCAGAGGAGAAACACGCGAGTATAAATGCGCGCGCTCTACACACATGATTTAGTTGACAAAACGTGATGTTTTCTTTTTCAATTTCATCTCAAAGCAGTGGTGATAGTGTGCGTAATAGACTTGCTTCGTCATCGCGTCACCTTCATAGCGATATCACACAGCCATGGAGACAATTAACATTTATTTGTAAATGAGTACCAATGGTTTTTACATAACATAATATGGTTTATAAAAATAATTTTTACAGACATTTTTAGCCACGGCCACGGTCGTCGATGATATGTAAATTATTCCAACAAGTTTTTGAGAACGAATGTGGTTATGAAGAAATTTCTACTATAACTTGATTGAAATACGGGGTTTTTTGTTTAATAAGAAAATTAAAAAATATATCAACGAATTCATGGCAATAAAGAGAGTACTATGAAAACAAATAGTAAAATATTTGTCAATAGACGAAGGTCACATTGTGAAATAATAATTTCGAAAACTAGTACCTGCGGTGTTGCATGTAATGCTGGTTGATTTTGGCTTTGTTTTCTATCGAGAACCAAATGTATATACATCACGTTTAGTATAATTTTAATTGTAACAATATTTGAAATAAACTTTATAATGCAAAAATAATCGTAGCTTACGGTGTTAGGGCCACGCAGCAGTTTCGGCTGTTGCACGAATGGGTAGGCTCGTCCGGGTAAGTACCACGACCTTAGCCTCACAGAAGACCGGTGTAAAGTGGAAGTATAATACTTTCACGTTTCGTCTGGTGAGTGAGGCCGAAGCCCAAATTTCAAGATTGTCAACGCATCTGGAATCCCCGGGTGAAGCAGGCACCATAACCGCCGCGCATGAACATTTGCAACACCCGTAGGGTTGCAGATGCGCTGCCACCGTATCGTACAAACCTTACCATAAACTGGGCTCCGATTATCCCACTCATCAGACGAAACGCAGAAGTATGCTACATCTACTTCACGTCGGTCTTTTGTAAGGTCATGGTACTTATCCGGACAGACCTGTCCATTCGTGCCACAGCCGAAGCTGTTGCGTGTCCCAACCACAGTAATTAATTCGGTATTGAATATCAAACTATTAGCTACATA